TCATACCTCCATCTTTTGCACACCACCTTTTTAAATGGGACTATCCTGTTAGCCACTTGAGTTTCTTTCATCAGAGATTTTGAAATGACAAACTGAGGGACTACATTCCTCTTTTTCACAATACAGATATAGCATAGGCAGCAACCATGCAAGTATCTTCACTACCTTGTCAATGCCTATGTGAACCACCTCGAGGGATGACAGGATAGTCTACTTTCCATGTCCATTCGATCTTTGGTGTCTTTGAGACACTAGACAAAGAGGCTAACTACAGCCAGTTGACATATGTGCTTGCGTTAGCCTATATCAATTAACAGACTAAAATTAAATTAAGGAAACCACTAATCACATATACCCTTCCCTTATTCTGTATGGGCAAATTACTCCGTAATTGACTGCTCTGAAGTTTCTTGCACCTTTCCCTGAATCATCAGGTACCAGCTGTCATCAAGGATCAGGGAGACTGGGCCTGACAGATCAGTAGGTCAGTTCCTATGTTCTTATTTAACACTATATCTATGGAACTCATCAGCTGAGGGTAAGGGCCCAGGCATGGGCATGTGCTTCCTGGAGATGAATGCATGGCTTCAGAGATGGTGTTGACAGGAGGGCTTTCGTTTCCTCAACCATAGAATGGTGTTCCAGGAAGGAGGACTGCTGGGAAGAGATGATGTCCACCTAACCAAGAAGGGGAGAGCATCTTTGTGTACCAACTCACCAACCTAGTGAGCAGAGCTTTAAACTAGGTTCAAAGGGAGCAGGTGACAAAAGTCCACAGGTAGGTATAAAAAAAATGACCTTAACCAAAAGCTATAGGGGGTGGGGGATGGAAAAGTACAACAGGGTCATAGGAGCAACAAATAAGAGATAACAATGTAGTAATCTGCTCAACATCTTAGATGTGTATTCACAAATGCAAGGAGTATGGGGAATAAGCAGGAAGAACTGGAAGTATTAGTCCATAAACTAAATTGTGACTCAGCAGGCATCAGAGACTTGGTGGGATAAAACTCATGACTGGAAGATAAAAGGGGAAAAACAAGGGGTCTACTGTAGACCACCATATCAGGAAGAAGAGGTGATAAGATATTTCAAGAACAAATAGATACCCAAAACACAAGAACTGATAGTCATGAGGGACTTTACTACTCAGACAATGGATACAATGTCCAATAAGTTATTGGAATGTATTGGGGACCACTACCTGTTTCAGAAAGTAGGAAGTGTAACCAGGGGGACACACATTTTAGACTTGATTCTAATTAACAGGGAGGAATTGGTTGCAAATCTGAAGTTGGAAGGCAATTTGAAAGTGATCATGAAATGATAGACTTCATGATTCTAAGAAAAGGAAGGAGTGAGAAAATCGGAATAAGGTCAGTGGATGTCAAAAAAGCAGACTTTAACAAACTCAGAACTGGTAAGTAAGGTCCTGTGGATGTAAGGGAGAAAATAGTTCATTAGAGCTGGCAGTTTCTCAAGGAGACATATTGAAGGCACAACAGCAAACTATAGTGATTGTGGAGGATATAGGAAGACTAGTAAGAGATCAGTATGGCTGCATCAGGAGCTCTTTAGGGAAGAAATCCTACAAACAGTGCAAACATGGACAAATTGCTAAGGATGAATACAAAAGAATAGTACAAATTGCTAAGGATGAATACAAAAGAACAAGGGGACAAAATCAGAAAGCTGTGGCACAAAATGAGTTACATCTAGCAAGGGATATTAAAGGCAATAAGAGGTTCTATAAATACATAAGGAGCAGGAGAAAGACAAAGGAAAACATAGAGGATCTATTTAAAGTGATGGAGAGGTAATATTGGATGAGATCAAGAAGGCTGAGGTGTTTAATGCCTATTTGGCTTATCTTCACTAAAAAAAATTGTGATCAGACACTTAACATACTATTAACAACAACAGGGAAGAAACACAAGCCAAAATAGGGAAAGAACATGTTTAATATTTACATAAGTTAGATGTGTTCAAGTTGGCAGGGCCTGATGAAATGTGCCATAGGGTACTTAAGGAAGTAACTGAAACAATCTCTGAAGTGTTAAGAAGTATCTTTGATTACTCAGGGAGGACAGGTGAGGGGTCAGAGGACTAGAGAAGGGCAAACATAGTATCTATCTTTAAAAAAAGAGAACAAAGAGGACCTGGGGAATTATAGATCTGTCAGCCTAACTTTGATATCTGAAAAGTTACTGGAACAAACTGTTAATCAGTTTGTAAGCACCTGGGGGATAATAGGGTTAAAAGTAATAGTCTACACGGATTTCTTATGAACACATCAAGACAAACCATTTCCTCCTTTGACTACTGGCCTGGTGGATGGGGAGAAGCTGTAGACATGATGTATCTTGATTTTAATACAGATTTTGATACAGTCTTACATCACATTCTCATAATGCAACTAGGGAAATGTGGACTAAATGAAATGACTATAAAATGGTTGAAAGACCATACTCAGAATAGTTTTCAATGGTTTGCTATCAAACTAAGGGGAGGGAAAGGAGAGAGGGGATGTATGAAGTTGGGGTCCTGTAGGGGCCTGTCTTGTGTCTAGTACTAGTCAATATTTTCATTAATGACTTGGATAATGGAGTAGAGAGTATGCTTACAAAATGTGTGGATGATGCCAAGATGGATGTTGTTGCAAGTACTTTGGAGGACAGGATTAGAATTCAAAACAGCCTTCACAAATTGGAGATTGGTCTGAAGTCAACAAGATGAAATTCAATAAAGACAAGTATACAACTACAAAATGTGGGATAATTAGCTAGGCAGTTGTACTGCTGGAAAGGATCTGGGGGTTCTAATGGATCACAAACTTGATATGAGCCAACAATGTGATGCAGTTGTTAAAAAGGCTAGTATGCTAGAGTATATTAGCAGAAGTATCCTATGTAAGACATGGAGGGTAACTGTCACGCTCTAATCCGCACTGGTGAGGCCTCAGCTGGAGTCCTAGCTGGGTTCTGGGTGCCACACTCTAAGAAAGATATGGACAAATTAGAGAAAGTCCAAATAAAAGCAACAAAAAATGATAGATCATGTTTTCTAAACCCTTTATGAGGAAAGGTTAAAAAAAATTGAAATGTTTAGTCTTAAGAAGACTGAGGGGGCACCTGAAAAGTGTTCAGATATATCCAGGGCTGTTATAAAGAGGATGGTTATCAGTTGTTCTCCATATACACTCAGGTTATGCCTACATTATGAGCTAGGGTGTGATTCCCAGTTTGTCTACATACACTCCCACTGACTTCAGTAGGGCCAAGACTTCACTCTTAAGGATTGTGTACATGGTGGAGTAATATGTGCACTATGGCAGTGGTTTTCAAACTTTTTTTCTGGGGACCCAATTGAAGAAAATTGTTGATGCCAGTGACCCAACGGAGCTGGGGATGAGGGGTTTGGGAGGGGCTTAGGGCTGGGGCAGAGGGGGTGAGGGCTGCAGGGTGGGGCCAGGAATGAGGGGTTCAGGGTATGGGAGGGGGTCTGAGCTGGGGGTGCAGGTATGAGGGGTTTGGGGTACAGGAGGGGCTCTGGGTTTGGGGGGGCCTCCGGGCTGGGGCACAGGGTTGGGGTGCAGGAGGGGGTCAGGGCTCTGGGCTGGGGGTGATGGGTTTGGGGTGCAGGAAGGGGTTCCGGGTTTGTGGGGGCTCAGGGCTGGGGCAGGTGATTGGGGCATGGGGTTAGGGCATGTTTACCACCAACAGCTCCCGATCAGCGGCACAGCCAGGGTGCAGAAGCAGACTTCCTGCCTGTCCTGGCACCGCGGACTGCACTGCGCCCCGGAAGTGGCCAGCAGCAGGTCCAGCTCCTAGGCAGAGATGTGCAAGCAGCTCCATGTGGCTCTCACCCGCAGGCACTGCCCCCCTTTCCCCCCCACCCCGGCTTGGTGTGGAACCAGTGCTTGGGGCAGGGGCAGTGCGCAGAACCCCGTGGCCCCTCTGCCTAGAAGCCGGACCCACTGCTGGCCCCTTCCAGGGTGCAGCGCAGTGTCGGAAAAAGTAGGCACTAGCCTGTCTTAGCTGGGCAGCACCACTGATGTCCCAGTTTTAATGTCCCAGTTGGCGGTGCTGACCAGAGCCACTAGGGTCTCTGGGTGCTGAGCAAGGTGACCCAGTGCCTTACACGCTGTGACCCAGTACTGGGTTGTGACCCAAACTTTGGGTATGATTTCTGAAGCGCACTACGGAACATTAGGAGCATGCCAGCAGGAACTACATAGTCCAATTAAAATGCAACACACTAGTGTGTTTTAGAAATCACAACCCCACACAGTCTACATTACCCTGCCGTGTAGATAAGCCTCAGCGTGATATTATGAAACGTATCATGTTGAAGCCCCCATAACTTTAAAATAGTTGTGTGATTGTCTTCAATTTACCAACAACAAAAAAATACCCTGAAAGGAATCACAAAAATACTTTTTCCTTTTTAAAGAGAGGGAATATAAGACTTATAATGGAACTCTTGTCTCTGTAGTCCAGGATAATTTAGGTTTGGTAACCTGTAGTTAAATATCTGATGTGTAAAATTCTTAAATTAAATGGAGTTCCACAGAAAGTTGAAATGGTTCTCCAAGTATTGATAAGGTCTGTTTTCTCCTTTTATTTTATCTTACCTTCACTCTAATTACTTTTATTTTTTATTCTTAGAAGCAAAGTCAGAGGCTGGAAAGAATCATTGATCCACCTAATTTGTCTTCCTTTATGCTTACATATTTTAATTGTCTTTATCTTCCCTTTATTCATTATAAAAAACATAATGTTGGAACAGTCTATAATGGGTATGAAGAATTTCCTGATCCTGAAGTTTAGAAGCTTTCATTGTTAGTGTTCTTTTGAATGAAATTAGCACCCAACAATCAACTTGACTCAGTTCACTCATAAGTAACATTACAGACTTGTAATGCCAGTTCTTTCACAGAATATTGTAAGCCTAACTGAAAATTATAACCCTTACATTTGACTGTATATTCCTTTTTATTACATAAAAATAACATTTACTGAAATTGAACATCTGCTTGAGTGAAGGAACAACTAGCAGGCAACAACAAAAAGATGCCATACAGTTTCATTTTTTACATTATAAAAAAGCCTAATTCTGTGCACTTTTAAGCAAGCCTACTTTTATCCAATAAGTCCTCCAGCAGAGAGAATTATTCTTTCCTGCTATGTAAGTAAACACTGTTCAACCCAGTATCTTTTGTTGAACTATAGCAATCTTTTACAGGGATATCCAGTCATGATAATGAATTTAGCACTTCCTTTTGTAAGCTGTTCCATTTATTAAGAAGTTTTTATATTTTAATTTAAACTTCACACCACTGGTTCTTGGGTCACATACACAAGTAATACTACCTCCTTACTCCTGCTCAGCATTCTCCCATTTATACATCCAAGAATGATGGTTTGTTTTGTCCCAGTATCACAATGGGACATCACATTCTATTACTTACCTATCCTGCCCCCAAAATCCTTTTCAGAGTTGCTGCTTTTCAGGGTACAGTCCCTGATCTTGGAACTGACCAACTTCTTTGTTCCTAAATGTATGATTGTGGGGATGTAGTTCTGCTTTGACGATAGGTAAGGGTTGTATGCCTTCAGATGCTGTGATTAGCCAAGGCAGTGATCTACCCTCCTGAAAGGTAAAATAGCTGATGTTCTGGAGAGTCTATCAAGGCCACTGATGATGGGCCAGTAGGGTTGTGTTTTTTCTTTGTGTGTGGGCAATCAGTCTCCTCCCAGTATCCTTTAGACAACACCCAGCATGACGTTCCTTCAACTGCAAGACAATTACACATCTTTCAGCTTGCATTATTGTGTGAAAGCTATAGTGCACTTAAGATGACTAATAATAAAAACCAAAGCCTCTATGCCCATCCATTAGTCTAGTGCTAGCATTGTGCACTACCCTCCTGAAAAGTTAGATTGGAATTAAAGTTTGGCCCTTTATTTACTAAGCATGCTCTGAAAACAGTATGCTCAACATTTATCTGCCTAATACAGGTGCAGCATTAAAATGCTTAGAGGAGAATCATGTCCAGTATTTTACAGATAAAAGAATGATTACCAAGGCACAATATCTTGAGGATTAGTGTAACTAATGTGGGTCAACATCTGTGTGAGTTATGAATGCTCAGAAGAACTCCGTCATCTCCAGCTATTGCTTTTCTCCATTCTGTGTCCTTGCTTCTTTCTAGAGCTGCTGAATTTCAGGTCCAGTGTAGATAGCTTTTCGACAGCAATGATTTCAAACCTGTTAGGACCAGATTCACAAGTCAGATTTAGCCCCTGTACTGCTCAGGCAATACAAATGGGCAGAATTTTAGCAGCAAGTGGCCCATAGGAAATTCCCTTTGTATAGGGGAAGTACTCACTGGTGTGAAGCTGGAGCTGGACAGTTGCCTTCCCCATTAATGCTCCAGCACAGGTGCATAGAGGGGAGCGTTGTCTATCTCTGCTATACCTATCCTTTATTGATGTGAGCTCTGGATCCAAAAAAAAAAAAAGGGAAATGTGGAGGAGGGTACTCATGGGGGAATTCTGCACTACTGTGCATGCACAGAAGTTATGTCCCCTGCAGATTTCTTTGTTGCCCTGCAGAAAAATGACTTTTGACGGAAGCAAAGGGAAGCCACAAAAGCAGTCATGCGACCCTCCCCAGCACTATATTTTGCACGCCCAAGGCAGCTAGCAGAATGGTAAATCACTGTGGGGTGGGAGTGGGGACGACGCAGCTGGTGGCTCCTACCCTGTGCTGGGCTCAGCTGCTAGTCCTGGAGGACTGGACTTCCTCTTCACCTGCACAGCATCCAGGGCTGGGTCAGATCCACCCCCAGATTTCTCCTCCAGCTGTAGGAAGCTCTGCAAACTCTTCTCTCTCCCCCACCCCAGTACTTTCAGTGCCCATCACTCCTCAGGGGGAGGGATCACTATACAGGGAGCTGCTCCCTCTTCCGTCCAACTCCTGTGCAGCCAGACCCCCTCAAACCCAGACCCTTCCACTAAGCCTCACTCCCCCACACCCTGAACCCCCGGACACTCCACTCCCCCTGCACCTGGACCATCCCGATGAGCCACACACACATGGATCCCCCCTCTACTGAGCCCCAACCAGCTGCACTTGGATCCCAACCCCACTAAACCCCACTCCCCCAGCCTCTGGAACCCCCCACACGCAGACCCCCCCTGCTGAGAACCAGCTACCTTCACTGGAGCACACTGCAGATTCCCAGTACTGTTGCACCCAGAACCCCAAAACAAACCCCTGTGCATCCAGATCCCTGCTGCACCAAGATCCCCCACTGGGTGGCCTGCACCCAGATTGCCCCACACAGAACCCTCTCAGCCCACACCTGGATCCCCTGACACTAGTCCCTCCACATGTGGATCCTTCTGGGCTGAGCCTGCCTGCCCACACCTGGTACAGAGGGGCAGGGCTCGGGGGTGTTTCTGGGGCAGGCCCAGGCCTTGTGCTGTATCAGGGTTGGGTGCAGCCTCACCGCTAAGTCCAGACGGTGATCACCCATCTCTGTGCAGCCAATGGCCTGTGCTCCCCAATGCCATGCTGGACCCTCCACACTTATTTGACCAATAGAATTTGAAGATTTTTAAATTATGCACAGAACTTTTAATTTTTTTGGGACAGAATGCCCTCAGGAGTAAGGAGGGAAAAGGATCAGGGCTGCACAGAGGTTTTAAGGGGTCTAGGCCAAAATCTGAAACTAAGACACCCCCCCACCCAACAATTTAACACCAAAGGAAAACTGGGGTAGGTGGAGTGAGAGTGAGCTTAGACTGTACTCAGCCCAAACCACAGACTTGACTCCAGCCACAGGGCCATACCTGTAGTTTGACTTCTATATTTGGGTAGGCAGCTCCACTCAGGCCAGTAGGGCTACATGGGGAACAAATTCTGCACCTGCCTGATGTTTGCAGTTGGGGGGACACCTCCCTCCCCCGCAAACTACACCCATGCTGGGAGTGGACCTGGCTCCCCACTTGGGCTGTTGTGACTGGGCAAACAGAAAGGGGTGAGAGGATGCAGCACCACTCAGGTTTGGGGGGGGGCTCTCTTGCCCTCCCTGGCCCAGCAGGTGCCAAAGGTGGGTAAGTCACAGTCACTAGGAGCAAAAACAGAGAGCCCTAGAACCAAATCATTTTTTCATTCTCTGCTCTTGCTTCAACCTGAAGAAATTGTATAAGGCTATGTCTACACTAGGGACCTTACAGCGGCACAGCCGTATCCTACTCTTGTGCTGCTGTAAGGTCTCCCATGTAGCCACTCTTTGCCTGCAGGAGAGCATGGAGGTCTAACGGGTGGCTGGGCTGCTGTTGTCAACACAAAACATGCTTGGCTTTCAAGCAAACATGCCAAACCTGTGAAAAAAACACAGAAATTGGGTTTGTTTGCTTTTTTTTTGGTTTAATTGGCTTGTGAGTTGCTTGTTGGCTAGTTTTTGGCTTGTAGCTTGTTTGGCATGTAGCTTGTTGCTTTTTTTTTCTTTTTTGGGATCAGCTCCCAGCAAGGAGGAGCAAGCAGGGGTGAGACTCAGGGGTGCACAGCAGGCCCACCACAGTCCCAGACTGTACAGCAGGGGAGGGCGGGGAATCTAGTCACATAGATTATTGGGGTTCTTATGGATTGGCTTGTTTTGAAACGGGATTATCTTGATTTTTGGTTTATCCTGAAAGTAGAGTGTTTATTTACTACATGAGAGTTGGCAACTGTGCTTTCAAGCAAGCGCAGTCACACCCAGGAGGCAGTAGACAGCAAGAGCAGCAGCCCTAGACCTTGTGCTGCCTGTAACCCTTGTCTCCCATCGGGTACCCCCGTTGCGATCTGTCTGGTTTACACTGTAAGCGCCTCAGGGCCGTGACTTGCCAACGGCATCTGTAACGTGACCCGCACACCTAGGCCTGCAGGAACAAACGCTGGGGGAATGGTGGTGGGGAGCCCAGCGGGGCAGAGCATCCGCCCCACGCTGCTGAGGCCACTGGATTGCGGGGTGGCCCCGTTACCCGCGATGCCCCTGCGGCTCCAGGAACGCGTGACTGAGGCGGGGATCAGCTCCCACACCCAGGTCGGGGGGGCCCCCAAGCCCGACTCGGCCGCTCCCCCCGACAGCCAGAGAGAAGCCCCCGGAACGCGGCCCGGACAAGCCGCCGGTGCACGAGGGCACGGCCAGGGGCTCCGTCCTGAGTCCGGCCCCTCCCTCGGCTCTCCGCCTCCCCCGCCCGCCAGCGGCGCGCTCACTTTGGGGGTGGGGCTGGCTCCGGAGGCCGCCGGCAGCTACCGCGCTCAGATCGGATTCGGGCTGAGCCCCGCCTCCTCACCATGATTGGTCGTGGCGCCAGAGGCTCTTCCCTTGACCCCCGCCCCCAGATCTCCTGGGTGACTGGGACGCTGTTAGCGGTGGGGGCCGCGCTCCCCCTTGCCCTCGGAGCGGCAGCGCATGCGCACAGGAAATAGTGACTCGGGAGCCCCGGGCGAGAAGATGAAGGTAAAGTTCAAAAATGCCGTTATTGGGACGGGCATGGGGCTCACCGGGGACTGCCCCCCCCGGCTGCCTGAGCTCCTCTGGCGTGGGGGCCGTCGGCAGTTGTGGAGGCTGAGGGGCCTTGTGATTCGGCAGCCCGGCCCGGGGCCTGCAGCGCTTCGGCGCCTTACCCTGGCGGGGGCTGCCGCGCGTGGAGCGGGGTGACCCGGGGCGGCGGCCTCGGGGACACGCTGACGTGCCCTGCCCGGGAGGGCAGCGGCGACCCGAGGGGCGGGGGCTGCTTTAGAGCAGCGGGGGAGGGCGAGAAGCTGGGCGGGGTGAGTGGCAAGGGGGCGGATGGGGGCTCGCTGCTGCAGGGGGCAGCAGGGAATGGCGGCCCGCTCTGCTGTGTGGGATGTTGGGGGAACGGCCTGGGAGCGCAAGAGGGGCGTTTCGGAGCCGGCCCCGTGCCTCTCCCACAGGAAGGGGCGCTGCAGAGGAAGCTGCCAGAAACCCTGAAGTGGGCAGTGGGGGAATAACCAGCCCGGGGGGAGGGAATCTTCTTCCTGAACCCCAACTGTACAGGTCTAGCCCAGGGGTGGGCAAACTTTTTGACCCAAGGGCCACTGCAGAAGTCAGGGAAAGTCACAGAATCCTTGAGTTCTGTGACCTTCCTGACAACCAGTAAGTAAGGCTGCGTGTCTATCTTAGAACAAGTCTGGTCTATCTTATCTAGATACCTTAGGGCATGGCTACACTTGCAGATGTAGAGCGCTGTGAGTTAAACCCGCCTTCAGAGAGCACAGTAGGGAAAGCGCTGCAGTCTGGACACACTGACAGGAACAAGCGCACTGGCGTGGCTACATTTGCGGCACTTGCCGCGGCATTGGGAGCGGTGCATTACGGGCAGCTATCCCACAGAGCACCTCTTCCCATTCTGGCGCTGTGGCTTGTGGGAAGGGGGCGGGGGCATTCTGGCTCCTGTCCCAACGCCCCGTGATGCATCAGGTCGCATCCCAGCATTCCCTGTGCTTCTGTCCACATTTGGCACCATCTTTCAGCGGTTTTTGTGCTGCGCGCTCTGTCTTCCCTTTCAGTCTGCGGGAATGGAGCCTGAACTGCTGAGGAGTATGCTGACGAGTCTTGCCAGCACGTCGCGTTTGGCAGTCGAATTATTCCTTATGATCCAAAGTGACAGTGAGGGCTCCAATGATGATATCGGCTCTAGTAACGCATATGACACACACTTGTTTGCGGCGTTCACGGACATGCTCACCACCGTGGAATGCTGCTTTTGGGCTCGGGAAACAAGCACGGATTGGTGGGCTCACATTGTCATGCAAGTCTGGGATGACGGGCAATGGCTGCAGAACTTTCAGATGAGAAAAGCCACTTTGATGGGACTGTGTGAGGAGCTCACCCACACCCTGCGGCGCAAGGACACGAGATTGAGAGCTGTCCTGACGGTGGAGAAGCAGGTGGCTATTGCAGTCTGGAAGCTGGCAACTCCAGACAGCTACCGATTGGTTGCTAACCAGTTTTGAGTGGAGAAGTCGACTGTTGGAATCGTGTTGATACAAGTTTGCAGGGCCATTAATCTCATCCTGCTCAGAAGAACCATGACTCTGGGTAAAGTGCATGAAGTTGTGGATGGCTTTGCACAAATGGGTTTCCCTAACTGCGATAGATGGCACATACATTCCAATTCTGGCACCAGCCCACCTAGCCTCCAAGTATGTTAATCGGAAGGGGTATTTTTCTATGGTTCTCCAGGCGCTTCTGGATCATGTGGGTGTTTCATTGACGTTAACGCAGACTGGCCCGGAAAGGTGCATAATGCACGCATCTTTCTGAACACTGGCCTGTTCAGGAAGCTGCAAGCTGGGACTTTTTTCCCAGACCAGAAGATCACCATAGGGAAAGTCGATATGACAATTGTGATCCTTGGAGACCCTGCTTACCCTTTAAAGCCATGGCTCATGAAACCCTACACAGGGAGCCTTGACAGCAGCAAGGAGCGGTTCAACAACAGGCTGAGCCAGTGCAGAATGACTGTGGAGTATGCTTTTGGCTGTTTAAAGGGCCGCTGATGCTCTCAGTATGGGAAGCTGGACCTGGCCAATGACAGCATTCCTGCGGTTATATCCATGTGCTTGTACCCTCCATAACATTTGTGAAGGGAAGGGTGAATGATTCACTCAGGCATGGAACTTAGAGGTTCAACACCTGGAGGCTGAATTTGAACAGCCAGAGAGCAGGGTTATTAGAGGTGCCCAGTGTGGGGCTGCAAGGATTAGGGATGCCTTGAGGGAGCAATTTGAGGCTGAAAGCCACCAATAATGTCTGGTGCCCTGCACAGGAGTGAAGTGCAGTGGTTCCAATGTTAGTAGGAATCTTTGTTTGCTACACTGACTTGCAGTGACTGTTTCTTTCCTGGGCTAAGGTATCTTTTACTTTATGCAATTATAAAGAATGTTTTCAAAGCCAAAAAATCCATTTATTGGAAAGAAACACAACTGCTCGGGAAACAGAAAGGGCAAGGGGGTGAGGTGAGGTGGGGAATGGTACAATCACAGATTTGTGTATGTCCTGTTACCATACTCAGCCTTCCTGTCTGGAGTGCTGTGCAATGAGTGCTGCACTTCAGGATGGCTATACTGCATGGTGATGGGGGTTGAGTGCAGTGGGTAAGGGTTCTAGTTTTCAGGGCTGGGTAGTAAAGCTACAGGTATTGGAGGCAGCTGGTAGTGGTAAGAACCCGGATGTTGGGGAAAGTGGGGAAATGCTGGAGGTAACATGGGGGCACAAGGGAAAGAGTTTTGGGACAAGGACTGCAGGGGGGGGTCGGGCATGGTAGTGCTCCACCTGCATGGCTACGAGTGCCTGGATCGAGTCCACTTAGTGCTCAATTATGCTTATCAGCCAATCCGTGCTTTGCTGCCGGAGCACCGCGCTTTTGTATCAGCGCTCCTCATTCTGCTGGCGGATCCTCCTTTCAGTGTCCCGCCACTCCTGCACTTTTCAGTTTTCATTACTTGAATGCTGCATTACTTCATGCAACATGTCTTCCTTGCTTCTACGTGGCCTCTTTCTGATTCTTTGGAGATAACACGGGTGGCTGAGATCTCAAGGTTGCATCTGTAAAGGCAAAATGCAACACTTAACAGAGGCAGCATTGTTCACACCAGACAGAGCAGTGATTCTCCAGTCCTTAAGGGCAAGCACAGTCTACACAATAGCATCATTTTCCCACCCCGAAGCAAGCACACACAACCCACAGGAGCCCCAAAATGGTGAGTCAGCACAGGGTCAAGCGTGACTGATTGTTTCATGGCTGTACTGTCCTCTGCGTTTCTGTGCCTTGGGGAGCGCCAACAGCGGCAGGGGGGCCCCTATGCTGAACACTGTCCCCACATTTTCTACAGGAGTTCATCCTGAAAAATATCTTGCTGCTGAGGGTGACCTGGGAAGCAAGGGAGGGTCTCCTACTGCAATGCGGCTTCTGCCCTGGCCCATATATAGCTTGCCTGTGTGCAGCAATAGTCCTCCTGCCCCTCACGGCACAGTGACGTGGAGAAGTTAGTCTTACTGGGACAAGGAATACAGTGGCTCTCCTGAGAAACCTGTGCAAGCACGTTGCCCAAGTTCTGGATGAGACCTTTGAAGAGATCACTGAGGCCGATTACCACGATGTGAGAGAGCACATCAATGCCCTATTCCGCATCTAGGCATGCATGCAGCCCATACCCTCCTCACCCCAAGAGCCCGCAGTGAATAACTTTCTTCCCAAAATAAAAACCGCTTACCGAGAACCGCCTCTGATGTTTGTCCTTCCCCAAGCACTAGCCACCACAACTGGTTACCTTCCTCCTGGCTTGAGAACAGCTTCTGGCTGTATGCATCTGGGGATTCTGGTGTGTCTTCCTCTGCCTCAGCACTCTCACTCCTGCTTTGCTTCCATGTGGTAGTGTCCATGGTGGTACTCGGAGTGGAGATGGGGTCAGCCCCAAGTATCGCGTCCAGCTCTTTGTAGAAACAGCAGGTCACGGAGCAGCACCGGAGTGGCTGTTTGCCTCGCGGGCTTTGCAGTAGGTATTCCGCAGCTCTTTCACTTTAATCCTGCACTGCAGTGCGTCCGGTCATGGCCCCTTTCCATCATGTTCCTTGATATCTGCCCGAAGGAATCGTAATTCCTATGGCTGGAACCAGGCTGGGACTGGACAGCTTCCTTCTCCCAAACACTGATGAGGTCCAGCACCTCGCCATTGCTCAATACTGGGGATCGCCTGGGATGTGGAGGCATGGTCACCTGGAAAGATTCACTGAGAGCACTCCACGGCTGGCTGAGCAAACCGAAAGGGGATTTTCAAAATTCCTAGAGAATTTAAAGGGCAGGTCTAACGGTTGGTCACCTGAGGGCAGGGCAGTAGAGTTCAAAGTGGTGACTGGAGTGGCTAGTACAGGCATTGTGGGACGCTTCTGGGGGCCAATCAGAGAGCACTAACAGACCAGGGCGTCCACACTGGTGCCGCGGTGCTCAAGCAGGGGCGCACAAAATGTTATTCCACTCGCTGAGGTGGAGTACCAGGAGCGAACCAGCTGCGGAGTCAGCTCTACGTGCCTTGCCAGTGTAGATGGGTATTGAGCTAGTGCGTCTGGGGCTCCCTTAATGCACTGTAACTCGCACGTGTAGCCAAGCCCTTAGATACTTGGTCTACGATACTAGAGTATCTGAGCACCTCACAAGCTGTACTGTATTTTCTCAACAGCCCTGTGAAGTAGGTTATACTGTTTTCTTCATTTTACAGATGGAAAATTGAGGCACAGAGAGGCTAAGTGACTTGCCCAAGGTCACAGAGGAAGTCTGTGGTGAAGCAGGAAATTGAATCCAGGTTTCCAAGTCTTAGGCTAGTGCCTTAACCACTGGACCATACTTCCTCTGATCAAACCTGTTCCATTTTTTTAAAGAATGAACTTCAAATGGGAAACTTCCACAGGCCACACATAGTGTTGCCAGCCTCAAGTGTTCAAAGCTCATGAGATCTTCTAAAATGAATAATTTCTTTGCTTTTCGATTTCTAAATCTGTAGGGTGCACTTACTTCATAGTTTCAAGTTTCATAGCTTTTTCTTTCTTTCTTTCTTCCAAACATGAGGGCTACAAACCAGGGTGGATTGATGTAAATCAAGGTGATTTAAGCAGAAAGCCTCCATTTAAATCATAGATTTTAAACAACTTTCCTATTTGTACTTCAGTTATTTTCCAAAGAAAGGTACATTTTCATTGGTTGATATAACCATTAAAAAATGTTGATTTACAACTAAATAGAGCCTTTAAAGTAAGTTTGGTACATCTGTTTACTACTTAGGGGGTATACTATAACTATACTATAAATTGTATAGCTTAATATTTTCAGATTCTTAATTGTACATTTTCAATATGTTAGAAAATGAAAGATATATTGTTTATTTACTAGATAATTAACTTTTTGCTCTTGATTTTTGTCAAGCTGCATTAGGATGGTAACAAACAAACATACCAAACAGCATATACAACATTTAAATTAAATGTTTTTGATACATAAACTTTTCATCAACACATATTTCATATTTACAACTAAAAGTGATTTATTAAATAGAGGGATTAACTGTATTCAGTGATTTAAACTGATTATTTCAGGTCAGCCTGCGAAAATTTTCAAATATGCCTAAGTGAAAGTGACTCACCTAAGTCTCTTGAAAATGAGACAGTCTCCTAAATTACTTATGCTGTCCTATTGTGCCATATTTGTGAAGCGTGATCTCAAAAGTTAGATATTTCTCCCCAATTCTGTCTTTATATCCGTGATATTCAAACCTCAGTGGTTCAAGAGCCAACATTACCGTAAAGAGCCGCAGTGCTATGAATTCATTGTTTTATTTAATATATATTATTCTCTCTGAAAAATGATTGACCAAGTATTATTTTATCAACTTCACTTGGTTACTAACATGGTAGAAACATCCTGATTGTTTAATAACTTAGATTAATAATTAAATCACACAGTGTTTTGATATCGTGCTGCAAAGAGCTGCAGGAGACACATTAAAAAGCCACTGCTTTTCCGTAGTCTTTAAAGTAAAGAAGTCTTTAACTCAGGGTTTTTGACAGAGGCTCATTGATTCAGTAGTTATTTTTATTTAAATATTTTAAGAGATTACAATTATTTTAGCCTTTAATATATTTTTGTATCAAATTAAGATTTCATTATAAATAGGTTTTATTTATAAAAAGAAAAACTTACAATTTTTCTAATTTAAATAAAATTAAAAATCCAGTTTAAATAAAATTTCCAATTTAAATAAGAAAAGTCAATTTTTTAATTTTTTTTTGTGGAGAAAATCTTAGATTTTTATCCACCGTACTAGAAACTTACTTTTTTTTCTCCAATGAAAGCTGAGCTTCTTATGCAGTCTCTTAAGTCTAGCACCTGTGACTTTAAGAAAATTACCAAATATTGTGAGACTTATGATAGAATCACAAGAGTTGGCAACACTATCAATATTGCTAAAGAATAAAGTTGTGCGGATTTATAAATAATCTTCAGATTTTAACACATGCAAGGGGTGAAAAGAAAAGCTAATTTTATTTTACAGTTCAGTTACTTGGGTTAGTTTCGTACTTTTACTTTTCTTACCTAAGTAGCAACAATCAAAAGTACTGTCTTTGCAAAAGTCTGAATTCTCTAATTTAAAATTTTTTAAAAATTGCTAATACAAATTAAAGTATATTTGTACTATTTTCTTCTTAGGTTTTTAAGGTTGAACTTAAAAGGTTGAACACCAGCTCTGAAGTGTCTGTCATGAAAGTTCACTTTTCCATTTATAATGAAAGGCCTGCCACAGACTTCTGTCCCCTTTATACATTGTCTATCCTGTAACCTATCTTTCTTTATTTGTATATATTAGTTATAGAATGTTAGTTATATTTACTAATATGTACTAGGCAGGTTTAATGTTCTCCAGTGCTTACCGTTTTTAAGTTAGTAATTCCCCTCTTTCTTCCCTCAGCGAGTATTTACTCTATTAGAAAAGGCTTTGCTTGGTTCCCCTGTGCAGTTCACCTGGCAGAAAACTTCAGGAAACTTCCTTGCTGTGACAGGGTAAGATAAGAAGTATTTACATATTATTAATATGTATGTAGAGGTGTAATTGAGTAATATTCACCCGTTTGTTAATGTTGTATATTCACTGTCACAGTATATGTCACAGTTCCTGAGGTAACTTGCATCTCTGACCCCTTTTTGGCCTTCTTGAGGGCACCCCACTTACGTCTCAGGCTTCTCAGCCGTTACCATTCTCGGGGTAGAGTCCTGTGACTCCCCACCTCTAGACCGGGCAGTTAGGCTGCAATTCTTCCTGTAATTCACTGTGATTACTACAGTAGATCTGACTTCAGTTCAGCACCTATGGTCCAGTTTCCTCAAGGGCAATGACAGGATTAACTAGTGACCAACCAGGCAATGATAGGGTTAACCATTGACCAACAGCGCTTTTATAAAAAGAAAAGGAGTACTTGTGGCACTTTTATAGTTTTCATTTCTTTGTTTGTCAAGTTTTTTGAAGTGGGTCAAACTAGTTAGGTAGACTTGGCAGAATTCAATTTTTTTTTTTTTTGTAATTTAGGCAACTAATATATATTTTTATTTTTAAGATTTTTATTTGATTTTTAACTATTTTAATTTTTACAATTGCTGGAAATTGAGGGGGAGGGGAGGGTTGGGTTAGCATTAGGGTAGCACTAACTGTGGGGCTCCAAGGGGTTCCCAGGACTGGCAACATGGCTGCAGTGCACCCTACACAGCTGAGGGACCCAAGACACCTAGGTAAAAGATGCCAGATATGCTGTCATCCTCAGCTGGTGGAGTAGAGACCTCTGGCAAAGACTCCAAGGAGAAGGATGAGCCCCTGGACACAGAAGGAGGCCACCCTGCTGCTGAACAAGTCCATCCCAGGGACTGACTGCTCCTCTGTTTCTGGTGGGTGGGTGGGTGAGTGCAGCTCCTCTGTGTGGCCCCAGAGGGTTCCCTGCATGGCTGCAGGGCCTGTGACACTTGATCCCTGCAGGTGCAAGGTGCGGGGAAGGTTGTGGTCCTGGCAGGGCAGAGCAGAGACTCCACTCCAGAGCTATGAGGAACAGGACAAGCCCCTAGCCTGAGGGGAGGCCACCCTACTGCCGAATGGCTCTTGCCTAGGGACAGAGCCCCCGCAGTACATCATCCTTGCAGTAATGGCTCGGAGTCTCTGCTCTGCCTCTCCAGGACCTCAGTCTTCTCCACACCTTGCACCAGCAGGAATCAAGTATGTCAGGCCCTGTGGTAGCATAGTGAGCCCTCTGCCACCACAATATCATGGCCTCACTCTTGTGACAGAAGGGCTGCCGAGGGCTTCCTGTGCTGCTGCAGGGCCAGTGACATTGGATCCCTGTAGATGCAAGATGTGGGGAAGGTGGCAGTCCTGGTAGGGCATGTAGAGCAGAGCAGAGACCCTTTGCCTAAGACTGTGAGATGAGCCCTTGGCCACAGGGGAGGCCACCCCACTGCCGAATGGCTTCTGCCTGGGGATGGCTGCCACACTCCCAGCTGGTGAGTGAGAAAGCTATGACAGTGGGGTTGCCTGCCCTGCCTGAGGACTGGTGACACCTGATCCCTGCAGACACAAGGTGCGTGGGGGATTTTTTTTTTTTTTTGGTCAAATTTCCGTGTGTCAGCTGAAATTGATGTTTACTGTCCTCTATCAGATTAAATTGAATCCTGTCAAGGCGGTGTATATGCAGTTTCCTCCAGACTTGCTACCTGCCTAGGAATTTGCATTAATTACCACCCAGTGATTTAGTTCTTGTAGGAAACCCTGTAACTCTCCTGTGGAGCCAGAATGCAATCCCTTAGCCCATAAACATACATATAAGACTTATAAAGCTGATACAATAACTTTTTATTATTCCAAGTGTCCACAATATCTTTTCTTGGATTACCTTCTGCTGGTGAGAGAGGCAAGCTGTATATTTCCCATATCTAAAAAAGAGCTCTGTATAAGCTTGAAAGCTTACCTCTCTCACCAGCAGAAGTTGGTCCAATAAAAGACTACCTCTCCGATCTTGTCTCGCTAATATCCTGGGACCCACATGGCTACAACAACCCTGCATATGTCCATAATATCTGTCACATTAAGTACCTATCCACTGGAAATATCAATAGATAAAACTCCTGAGCCATATCAATGGGGCATGAAAGATCAATGGAAAAAGTTTTTATGAAATCTCTAAGGATATTTGCAAATGTACAAAAATACTGAATTCATCTTCTGTGTTTTTAGAACTGATCACACTGTAAAAATCTTTGATCGTCATGGTCAGAAGAGAAATGAAATTAATTTACCAAGGTAAGAACTAACAAGGGTTTGGAACATGTTCTGAAACAAAAAAAAAACACACACTTTTAATGGCACATACATACATATAAGTAATATATGGAAGATGCATTTCTGAGGCAAAACTGAATTCATAATACAATAGCCATGAAAGATCAGGAAAAAATTATATATATCCTTATACGTAAAACATTCTTTAACTATACTTTTCATCAAAAGAAGGGTAGAGATAATTTTAGGTCCCCACATAAATAGCTCATCGCTAAAATATATAAATGTGTAATAAGTGACAGGCTAAAAAGATTTAAAATACAAAAAAAAATTATTTCAGGTCCAAACTTCATCTCAAAAACTGTATAAAAGTACTTTCTTCACCTCAGTTCTATCTCACACCATCTACTCATGTCAACAACCCCAAACTGTTACCTTATTTATTTTCTATTCCATTCTAGTCTGGTTCCATTTTAATTAAGGTGGTCTCCTGCCCTCTGTATAGCTTCTCCTTCCTCCAAATGTTCCCGAGTACCTACAAAACTTTATCTCTTCTTAGCACTGTCTTTTCATCCATGCATTGAGACCTTGACGTTCCCTCTGCCTAGCTAGACCTGTGTATGGAACTCAAAGCACTTCAGAAAAAGCTACCACTGATGCCCTGGACCTATGCCTTCTACCTAGTATTCTAAATTTAGCTTCCAGGACCTCTCCACTACATCTCTCTACATCATTGGTACCAATACATACCACGACCACAGGCTCTTCCCCAGCGCTCGCCTGCAGTTTGGTTGGATATCTCATGTCTGCAACCTTTACACCTGGTAGTGAAGTCACCAAGCTGTTCTCATGGTCACCAACTATCTACATTTCTCATGATCAGTCTTCTGTCACCACAATCAGTCTTTGGGTATGTCTGCATTGCAAAATAAATTCTGTGGCAGCAGTCTAAGCCTGGGTCAGCTGACTCAGATTTGTGCTACAGGGCTAAAAACAGCAGTGTACGCATTCCTGCTCAGCCTGAAGCCCAGGCTCTGAGACCCTCTTCTCCCTTCCCTGGTTTCAGAGCCCAGGCCCAGGCCAAGTGGGAACATCTACACTGCAATTTTTAGCACCATAGTGCAAGCCCAATTTGACCTGGGCTCTGAGACTTGCTGCATTTTTTGTTGTTTGCGTTTTTTTGGCTGCAATGTAGGGGTACCTTTGCTCTCCCCACTGTAATTCAGTCCCCTGGAATGACCTCCTCAGTACATGAAGAGCTGTCAGTCTCCACTATCTCAGTCGGAAGGAGACTCCCATCTAAGGGGGTATGTGCCTCCATTCCACCTTGGTGCCCCTTCCACCATGAGTCTGGCTTCCTCAACTGGACGATTGGGGAAGTCAGTTCTGAGGTGAGCCTACTCCAGTGTCCCTATATGCAGAGTCTATAAACAATTCCATCTGTGTCTGCTCTTCCAGTTCAGCAGCTCTGTGCTCAGGATGCTGGCCATCAGAGCCCATGTACATGAGCTGCTTGTATTGGGTGTGTATGTATACCAGGTCAGTGTCATTATCCCCATTTAACAGGTGGAGAAACTGAGGCACAGAGAGAGAAGGTGACTTGTCCAAGGTCTCACAACAGGCCAGTGACAGAGCTGGCAATAGAATCCAGATCTCCTGAGTCCCAGTCAAGTGCTGTGTCCCCTTGGTTACACTGCCTCTAGTGGCTTCCCTTCCCATTTATTCCTCCTGCTCACCAGAATGCTGCATGCTGCTGTGGTTGGGGATTGAGACATCCATTGAAGTTTCTTGCAGGAGTCCACATTTACTATCATGCTAAATTCAGGCAAGTGGGAGAAAAGAAGATAAAAGGTTGAACTGGTGGGTTGCTGATTTAGCCTGCAGCTTGGTATGCATAAAGTGCTTCCTATTAGGAGCTACTAAGTGAGCAGGAAGGGAAAGCTGCTAGCTTTTCAAGAAGCTACCCCCTGTTTTACTGGAAGCTATAAATGTACTTGCCTAGAATGCAGAGCAAAAGCACAATTCACATTGGATCTTAGGCTTCAAAACAAATTATTTTTATAAAATAAATTTTATTTTGACTTCTCAGGCAGTCAGACTTCTTGGTTTTTTCACTCAAAGCACTTGCAATAGCTCTAAATACTATTTTTGCATAGCGTACATTTTTAACCAAAGAACAAATGGTTGAGAGATAAGGTTCATGGCAGAAGAGTGTAAAAGACAATTTTTCAGACAATTAAAAACCAAAGCATGTTGAAGCATTCATGACAGCAAAAGCTGTGTTCCGTGGGTTTTTGCAAAGATTAGACACTGCATTTTTTTTTATATGCATTAGTTTTTACATATTTAATTGACACATGTCCCTCTGGCAGCCAAACAGTAAGTTATTTCCCATACTAGCAGATGGAGTCTAGAACAAGTAACCAGATGCCTGCTATTCATTATGAGTTGCTTGCCTTTTGATTAGAGATGTGCAAATGGTTAATATAATACCCAGACTCCATCCAAAGTCAGGGTTGGTTCAGGTTCTGTTGTGTTCACACAAATCTACCTTGATACACATGCCAGGGCTGCGAACATTTATACAAACACTTGTGTGCCAGAATCCATCCTTTTGTTGTCTTCAGGGATGCAGCTGGTCTCCTGGAACTGAGTGGCTCACTCTGCCCTCCCTGGGACGGTAAGAGGCACTGAGGGTGTGTCTATATTGCAGCTAGATGCTGCAGTTAGGCCTGTGCCAGCTGACGTAAGCTCTCAGAGCTTGGGCTGTGGGGCTGTTTTATTGCAGTGTAGACATTTGGGCTTGGGCTGCAGCTTGAGCTCTGGGACCCTCCCACCTCACAGGGTCCTACAGGCCAAACTCCAGCCTGAGCACGAATGTCTACACCACAATTAAACAGCCCCTTAGCCTGAGTCGGCTGGCACAGGCCAGCTGTCAAGATTCCTTCCCTACTCTGAATTCTGCATGAAAATCTCCGAAGCTTACTTTTACCAGCTTATGTTAAAACTTCCCCAAGGTACAAACTATTTTACCTTTTGCCCTTGTACTTTATCGCTGCCACCACCAAAAGTCTAACAGGTATATAACTGGGAAAGAGCCCATTGGGAAACATCTTCCCCCCCCCCCCCCCCCAAAATCCCCCCCAAAACCTTCCACCCCCTTTCCTGGGGAGGGTTTGATAAAAATCCTCACCAATTTGCATAGGTGAACACAGACCCAAACCCTTGGATCTTAAGAACAATGAAAAACAATCAGATTCTTAAAAGAAGAATTTTAAGAGAAGAAAAAATAAAAGAATCACTCTGTCAAATCAGGATGGTAAATACCTTACAGGGTAATTAAATTCAAAACATAGAGAATCCCTTAAGTTACAAAAAGACACAAAAACAGGAATATCCATTCCATTCAGCACAGCTTATTTTCTCAGCCATTTAAAGAAAACAGAATCTAATGCGTATCTAGCTAGATTACTTACTAAGTTCTAAGCCCTGGTCTACACTAGGACTTTAGGTCGAATTTAGCAGCATTAAATCGATGTAAACCTGTACCTGTCCACACGATGAAGCCCTTTATTTTGACTTAAAGGGCTCTTAAAATCGATTTCCTTACTCCACCCCTGACAAGTGTATTAGTGCTTAAATCGGCCTTGCCGGCTCGAATTTGAGGTACTGTGGACACAATTCGACGGTATTGGCCTCCAGGAGCTATCCCAGAGTGCTCCATTGTGACCGCTCTGGACAGCACTCTCAACTCAGATGCACTGGCCAGGTAGACAGGAAAAGAACCGCGAACTTTTGAATCTCTTTCCTGTTTGGCCAGCATGGCAAGCTGCAGGTGACCATGCAAAGCTCATCAGCAGAGGTGACCATGATGGAGTCCCAGAATCGCAAAAGAGCTCCAGCATGGACCGAACGGGAGGTACGGGATCTGTTCGCTGTTTGGGGAGAGGAATCCGTGCTATCAGAACTCCGTTCCAGTTTTCGAAATGCCAAAACCTTTGTCAGAATCTCCCAGGCATGAAGGACAGAGGCCATAACAGGGACCCGAAGTAGTGCCACGTGAAACTGAAGGAGCTGAGGCAAGCCTACCAGAAAACCAGAGAGGCGAACGGCCGCTCCGGGTCAGAGCCCCAAACATGCCGTTTCTATGATGAGCTGCATGCCATTTTAGGGGGTTCAGCCACCACTACCCCAGCCGTGTTGTTTGACTCCTTCAATGGAGATGGAGGCAATACGGAAGCAGGTTTTGGGGACGAAGAAGATGATGATGATGAGGAGGAGGTTGTAGATAGCTCACAGCAAGCAAGTGGAGAAACCGGTTTTCCCGACAGCCAGGAACTGTTTCTCACCTGGACCTGGAGCCAGTACCCCCCGAACCCACCCAAGGCTGCCTCCTGGACCCAGCAGGCAGAGAAGGGGCCTCCGGTGAGTGTACCTTTTAAAATACTATACATGGTTTAAAAGCAAGCATGTGAAAGGATTACTTTGCCCTGGCATTCGCGGTTCTCCTGGATGTACTCCCAAAGCCTTTGGAAAAGGTTTCTGGGGAGGGCAGCCTTATTGCATCCTTCATGGTAGGACACTTTACCACTCCAGGCCAGTAACACATACTCGGGAATCATTGTAGAACAAAGCATTGCAGTGTATGTTTGCTGGCATTCAAACAACATCCGTTCTTTATCTCTCTGTGTTATCCTCAGGAGAGTGAGATATAACTCATGGTCACCTGGTTGAAATAGAGTGCTTTTCTTCAGGGGACACTCAGAGGAGCCCATTCCTGCTGGGCTGTTTGCCTGTGGCTAAACAGAAATGTTCCCCGCTGTTAGCCACAGGGAGGGGGGAAGGTTGAGGGGGTAGCCACGCGGTGGGGGAGGCAAAATGCGACCTTGTAACGAAAGCACATGTGCTATGTATGTAATGTTAACAGCAAGGTTTACCCTGAAAGAGTGTAGCCACTGTTTTATAAAATGTCTTTTTAAATACCGCTGTCCCTTTTTTTTTCTCCACCAGCTGCATGTGTTTCAATGATCACAGGATCTTCTCCTTCCCAGAGGCTAGTGAAGAAAGAAAAAAAAACGCACTCGCGATGAAATGTTCTCCGAGCTCATGCTGTCCTCCCACACTGACAGAGAACAGACGAATGCTTGGAGGCAAATAATGTCAGAGTGCAGGAAAGCACAAAATGACCGGGAGGAGAGGTGGTGGGCTGAAGACAGGGCTGAAGCTCAAATGTGGCGGCAGCGTGATGAGAGGAGGCAGGATTCAATGCTGAGGCTGCTGGAGGACCAAACCAGTATGCTCCAGTGTATGGTTGAGCTGCAGCAAAGGCAGCTGGAGCACAGACTGCCACTACAGCCCCTGTGTAACCAACCGCCCTCCTCCCCAAGTTCCATAGCCTCCACACCCAGACGCCCAAGAACTCGGTGGGGGGGGCCTCCGGCCAACAGAGGATTGCCCAAAAAAAAGAAGGCTGTCATTCAATAAATTTTAAAGTTGTAAACTTTTAAAGTGCTGTGTGGCATTTTCCTTCCCTCCTCCACCACCCCTCCTGGGCTACCTTGGTAGTCATCCCCCTATTTGTGTGATGAATGAATAAAGAATGCATGAATGTGAAGCAATAATGACTTTATTGCCTCTGCAAGTGGTGATTGAAGGGAGGAGGGTGGTTAGCTTACAGGGAAGTAGAGTGAACCAAGGGGCAGGGGGTTTCATCAAGGAGAAACAAAGAGAACTTTCACACCGTAGCCTGTCCAGTCGTGAAACTGGTTTTCAAAGCTTCTCTGATGCGTACCGCGCCCTCCTGTGCTCTTCTAACCGGCCTGGTGCCTGGCTGCGCATAACCAGCAGCCAGGCGATTTGCCTCAACCTCCCACCCCGCCATAAACGTCTCCCCCTTACTCTTACAGATATTGTGGAGCACACAGCAAGCAGTAATAACAGTGGCAATATTGGTTTCGCTGAGGTCTAAGCGAGTCAGTAAACTGCGCCAGCGCGCCTTTAAACGTCCAAATGCACATTCTACCACCATTCTGCGCTTGCTCAGCCTGTAGTTGAACAGCTCCTGACTACTGTCCAGGCTGCCTGTGTACGGCTTCATGAGCCATGGCATTAAGGGGTAGGCTGGGTCCCCAAGGATACATATAGGCATTTCAACGTCCCCAACAGTTATTTTCTGGTCTGGGAATAAAGTCCCTTCCTGAAGCTTTTGAAACAGACCAGAGTTCCTGAAGATGCGAGCGTCATGTACCTTTCCCGGCCATCCCACGTTGATGTTGGTGAAATGTCCCTTGTGATCCACCAGAGCTTGCAGCACTATTGAAAAGTACCCCTTGCGGTTTATGTACTCAGCGGCTTGGTGCTCTGGTGCCAAAATAGGGATATGGGTTCCATCTATGGCCCCACCACAGTTAGGGAATCCCATTGCAGCAAAGCCATCCACTATGACCTGCACATTTCCCAGGGTCACTACCCTTGATATCAGCAGATCTTTGATTGCGTGGGCTACTTGCATCACAGCAGCCCCAACAGTAGATTTGCCCACTCCAAATTGATTCCCAACTGACCGGTAGCTGTCTGGCGTTGCAAGCTTCCACAGAGCTATCGCCACTCGCTTCTCAACTGTGAGAGCTGCTCTCATCTTGGTATTCATGCGCCTCAGGGCAGGGGAAAGCAAGTCACAAAGTTCCATGAAAGTGCCCTTACGCATGCGAAAGTTTCGCAGCCACTGGGAATCGTCCCAGATCTGCAACACTATGCGGTCCCACCAGTCTGCTTGTTTCCCGAGCCCAGAATCGGCGTTCCACAGCATGAACCTGCCCCATTAGCACCATGATGCATGCATTGGCAGGGCCCGTGCTTTCAGAGAAATCTGTGTCTATGTCCTGATCACTCACGTGACCGCGCTGACGTCGCCTCCTCGCCCGGTATCGCTCTGCCAGGTTCTGGTGGTGCATATACTGCTGGATAATGCGTGTGGTGTTTAATGTGCTCCTAATTGCCAAAGTGAGCTGAGCGGCCTCCATGCTTGCCTTGGTATGGCGTCCGCACTGAAAAAAGGCGCGGAATGATTGTCTGCCATTGCTCTGACGGAGCAAGGGGCGACTGACGACACGGCTTACAGGGTTGGCTTCAGGGAGCTAAAATCAACAAAGGGGGTGTCTTTACATCAAGGAGTATTTCAGGCAGGACTTCACGGAGGGTTCCAATAAGAAATGGTGCACCTAAGTTATTGTTCTTATTGGAACAAGGAGGTTAGCCTGGCCTCTGACTGATACATGCCTAGATTTACCTCGCTGCACCTTCTCTGTGAGTGACTGCAGTGTGACCTAGAGGAATGAGTCCCCTAGACAGGGGAGGAGGCAAATGAGTACAAAACAAATCTGGTCTATTTCTTGTTTTGATCCACTCCATCTATCTTTTACATCTTTGGCTGGCAGCAGACGGTACAGAAGGACTGCATGCCATCCACATCTCATGGCTGCTCGGCAGAAGATGGTACAGTACGACTGCTAGCCATTCTCATCTCTTGCCTGCCCGGCAGAAGATGGTACAATACGACTGCTAGCCATCCTCATCTCTTGCCTGCCCGGCAGAAGATGGTACAGTACGACTGCTAGCAATCCGTATCGCCTGCCTGCTCACCATAAGACGGTTCAATAGGACTGACTGCAGGACTAAAGAGAATGACCTGGTCAAGTCACTCCAAATTTAGTCTCTGCGCCCATGTCTGCCCAGACCCTCCCAGCCGACGTGGCCAGGAGCACTCGGACACAACGAGGACGGCTACCAGTCGTATTGCACCGTCTGCTGCCAAAAGGCAATGGGTTGCTGCTACTGTGTAACAATGCCGTACCGCGTCTGCCAGCACCCAGGAGACATAGGGTAATGGTTACCTGAGTGGGCTCCATGCTTGCCGTGGTATGGCGTCTGCACAGGTAACTCAGGAAAAAAGGCGCGAAACGATTGTCTGCCCTTGCTTTCACGGAGGGAGGGAGGGAACGGGGGCCTGACGATATGTACCCAGAACCACCCGCGACAATGTTTTAGCCCCATCAGGCATTGGGATCTCAACCCAGAATTCCAATGGGCAGCGGAGACTGCGGGAACTGTGGGATAGCTATCCACAGTGCAATGCTCCGGAAGTCGACTCTAGCCTCGGTACTGTGGAAGCACTCCGCCGAGTTAATGCACTTAATGCACTTAGAGCATTTTCTGTGGGGACACACACACTCGAATATATAAAACCGATTTCTAAAAAACCGACTTCTATAAATTCGACCTTATTCCATAGTGTAGACATACCCTAAGACTCCATTCCTTTTCTGTTCCCAGCAAAAAGCATCACACAGACTGAGAGATCCTTTTTTTCTCCCCCCTCCTCCAGCTTTTGAAAGTATCTTGTCTCCTCATTGGTCATTTTGGTCAGGTGCCAATGAGGGTATCCTAGCTTCTTAATCCTTTACAGGTGAAAGGGTTTTTCCTCTGGCCAGGAGGGATTTTAAAGGTGTTTACCCTTCCCTTTATATTTATGACACCAGCCAAGGGTTTTTAATCGCAGAATTACTCCAAGAGGCCTCTTTCTTCTGCTTAGTCTTTGAGGATTTTTTCATTATGATCCATTGTCTCTTCCAGTTCTAATAAGAGCCTTTGGTGCCCAACCCTTCTCTGCACTAGTGCAGCAGGAAAATATACCCAGTGCATAAGCAGAGGTGTTTATAATCCTTAATATATATGTCCCTTCCTTAGTCCTATGCTAGAGATTGTGGGGTATGTCGGTCTCTGTGCTCATTGTGAGAACAGCAACTGGAACATTTTCCTGCTTCCATGTGGACTTCTGTCCCAAACTTAATACGCTTCTGAGAACTAGGAGGGAGCTGTTCACATCAGATGGCCTCCAAAAAACCATAAGGTTGAGTGACAGCTTGGTGTCCCTTAAAGATCCAGAGTATGTTGGAAGTGGCCCTCTAGCCCTGGGGCCCAGCAAGGGATCAGGGCTCTGGAGCCCCCTTTGTAGGCACAAGTGGTAGGAAGGAGTCATAGTCTTGGGTGAGATTAGAGCTGGGGTGCAACTTCTATCTGGAGATTCAGATTTACATAACATGACTGTCTCATCCTGTCTCAGGTTTGTTCGGAGGGGAGGAGCTGGGTCAGGGGCTTCATTTTGACTGTATAATTTTGTCTGGCTTGGACCCTCATAAACTTTTAAAATCCCTAGTAAAGTTTACTTTCTTCTTTCTCTCTGTTTCTTAAGCAACTGTGTTACTATGGACTGGGATAAAGATGGGGACACCTTAGCCATAATTGCTGACAAATCTAGTACCGTTTATCTGTGGGATGCCAACACAAACAAAACAAGCCAGGTGGACAGTGGCATGAGGTAAGAAAAACTCTTCTTTTAAAATGCATGTCAAGAATCAGACTAGTACAGTATGCCCTTCTTGGTGCAACATCCTATACTCATTTGGAAGCTGAAACTAATGCAGAATGCAACAGCCTGCTTCTTAAGTGAGGTGTGTTGCCACAAGGACGTTACACTGGTGTTTTGTAGCCTTAATTGGCTATCTGCAGTTTCAAGGTAGAGCATTTCTGTAGGTTTTGGTCTATAATGGCCTTGACCAGTCTACTTGAGAAATTACCTCTCCCCATGACATGTGCTACTACCAAAATTGGGATCAATAGAAACACTTGATCTGGAATCCATTCAGTTAAAAGAGAGGCTGCTACTGGGAAGGTGCTTTCCCTAAGGGTTCCTCAACTTTGGAACTTGTTTCCCACACCAGGGTTCTAAAAAGGATGAATCTCTTGACCTTCAGGTGTATTGCAAAGATCTTTCAATACAGCTTTTGTGGATCAGGTGTTGCTGAAGGGCAATATCTAACCTTGTTGCTGTAAAGATTAGTTGGTCATTGTTGGTATATGATGGAGTTTGCAGCTGGATATTTTTTTACGGTATGATTTGTGTTTTTAAAGGAATGTCAAGAGTGCCTAAATCCTGAGAGAGTCTCCATCTATTATTAGTTACATAGCAGTAGCACCCACAATGTGCTCGGTACTTTTGAAGCACATACAATAATAAAGTCCCTGCCCCAAAGTCATTCATCAGCAACAGAAAAAATATTTCCCTCTTCACATGACTTATCAGAAACTTGATCCTGATTAACAGTCACAGACTCTGAATGCGTCTTATTTTGCTTGCTTTTACTTTACGTCCATCCAATCTACCTAGCTGGAATATGAGCAGCCCCTGTTACAGAAATATCTATTCCTTCAGTACTTTTGCTTCTATTACCATTTATTATGCTCTTCATGTTTATTACTTTTTAAACTAATAATAAAACAGACAAAATGTCCTTCAAGGGCATTTGCATACATCAATTCTAAAATCCAATTACATGAGGGAGACTGTATCCGTAAGGAAGCCACACCTAATTGCATACAACAATATAAATGCAACAGAAATATCAGGACTTGGGCTTGGCTGACAGATTAGGCTGCAGGGAGATTGAAATAATATTATCTTTTTACTAAATTAAGATATTAGCTTTTTGTATTAACTCTTAAAAAAATCACACAAAACACAGCCTTCCTCTGTCTGAAACTCAAAGCAAAAAAGCTTGTGCTAAGTTTCTTACTACGTTCCATAGTCTGTCAATCAAAGAACCATGATCTACCATGTGAATACAGTCGTGATCAGTCCCAACTAAACCGTTAAAATACAAAAAAAATTCAGAAAAGCACCATCTTTGAAAGCATTTCTTAGAAATTTGTTGTCAACTTGATTATCTCTGATATATTTGAAAGTATATCAAGGATGCTTAGAGCTTATGCACAGATGCCCACTTTTAGCATTTGTATATGTCTAAATATTTAAACAAACCAGCTCCCCCGCCCTGGTTCATCGCTATTTTGTGAATGCTTAAGCAAGTCTGAAAGTGGCAAACTCACCCTAAACAAATGAATTAAAAAGTTTAGCTCAGGTTTACACAACACTGTGCAAATACAAAACAAATAATTGTAGTTAACAATGTGATTGTTTTTTAAATTTAAAAGAGAATCTCACTGATATGCCATATAAGATGATTTTATTGGTTTTTTTTAATATTTCAGAGACCCAATGTCTTTCTTGCTTTGGTCCAAAGTTGGAGCCTTGCTTGCTGTTGGAACAACTAAGGGAAACTTGCTTATTTATAACCGACAGACTTCTCGCAAGATTCCTGTCCTTGGTATGTACTATACTGAATTCATTGGGTTTGTATGTTTCTAACTGAGAGCAAAATTTTACTCATAGTGTTAAGATTCCTTTGTGTTCAGTGTAAAAATATAATAATCTATAACTGTAACTCCAAAATGTATCCTTGTTCAAATGGCTACTTCTGTTTTATTATTCTTACTAGAATGGTTTCTTATAGAATACTTTGTAAAACACCTCTGTGATGACCTAGTGGCAAAGTTCTGTGCTGTCATGTGGGAAACTTGGGTAAAAAAGTCTCCCTTGCTCCACAGGCCAGAAAATTGGCTGTGGAATTTTTTGTGTTGATACACTATCTTGCCCATGGTATATTTGAGGAGAAACATCAATAAACTTCAGAGTCCCATTTGGGCAGGAAAATGGAGGCTGCGGTAAACGGCTTGGGAGGTTTGATACAAATCAAGTGGGAAGATGAGAAGTTCCTTAAGGTTCCATAAAGATACAAAGGCTTCCCTCTCGGGGATTTTTTTTTTTTAACAAGAAACAAACTTTGATAACAAATATTTTCCACTGGCTATCATGCCTTCTTGAATATTCACCATGTCAGTTTTTTGTTTCACACCCTAATTATTTTCTAAAAATGTACATACTTGAATTACATTAATCTTCCCTTTAATTTTTTAATGTTTTTTAAAATGTGTATTGTAGGGCTCAAACCTGCATAGGCTGGGTTATGAATTAGAGGCCACATTTCCATCTCTAATTTTGCATGGATTTTTATACATATAAATTTGATATATATCTGTTTTTCAGGTAAACACACCAAGCGGATCACTTGTGGTTGCTGGAGTACTGAAAACCTGCTGGCACTAGGTAGTGAAGACAAAATGATAACTATTAGCAATCAGGAAGGAGATACTATAAGACAGGTAATAATAACAGCATCTTTATCTAACTGTTATACTTAGTTAATGATCCTGGGGCAAGATTCTGTGCTGATCTCTGAGAGTCAGAAAACTGGACTCTCAGCCCAGTTGGAGTGGATGCTAAAGTGGCTGTAAGTCATCTTTGTACTCTCCCAATCCTGGACTACTCCCAGGGCTGGAGCATGATGTCAGCATACTTTGGGGCCTGTCTAAGTTATAGCAGCCTCTTTGGGTTGCCCTATGGGCTGCAGACTCTGCAGTGCTGCATGTTATGGGCCTGTCCCTGAAATGCTGCTCACCACCACTGCCCTGGTTTATCCCCTATGCCAGGGCTTGCAAGGGGTCCTTGGAAAACAGTCTTATGGCTGTCTTCCACAGTGTCTGTACCAGGGGAATTCTTCCTTGGCCAGATACAGGGCTTTTAGGGCACCTTCAGGATGCTCCAGCCCTTTTACTCTTTGTAAAGTGCCTGGAGTAGGGATGAGGATCTTGCCCCTGAAGTGTAAGGTAGACCATTACCCCTTTTGAGATGCTGATTCCCTTCTTCCCTCTGATCAGAGAGTTCTAAATGTTTTCTTATGTAAATTAGAATCCTTGTGGGCAAAGGCAGTTTTTGGATATGCACATCGTTTTATAGAATTCACTTAATTTCAAATAGTAGAAACAGTGGTTCACTGAATACTTTTTTTAAGAGCAGACTGAAATCTTATTTCTTCAAATGATTGCAGACATTTCTCCCAGGTGTGCACACACCCAGTGTAGTTAATCTGGAGAACTTTGCTTAGCACTCCCTTTTGGGGTGGCACTTGCTCCCTTTGGCCTTTCATAGCCCCTCCCATAGCTATTTAAGTGCAGCGCTGCCTTGACCTCCCTCAGTTCCTTCTCACTGCCTGCAGCTTGAGTTGGAGAATTCTGTGTGGTATCAAATATCATGTTTTCTATCACAGTGCTTTCCTATGATCTTGTGTATGTAGTTAATTATAGTAGTGCCCTTAGGATTTAGTTAATTAGTAGTAGTTAGTTAAGTAGGATTTAGCCTGGTGTGATGCCTTCACCAGGTTTTAAACACCGCCTGTCATGTGGGGTGGCTGTCTCTAATAGTGACCCCACACTCCATGTTTATTGTGCATTGGGGAAGGGCACATTAAAGAAAAGTGCTCCATCTGTAAGTTGCTCAAAAAGAGAACCTAGGTGGCTAGAGACTTGCACCTGAAACAATACCTTATGCCTGCTTCAGTGCTGGGAACCTCTGCAGATTGAATAGAGCTGGGCCATCTACCCCTCACTGGTACTGAGTCAAGATCAGTGGGACACCATACTGTCAACTCCAGTACCATCTGTGGGCATCCACTGAGTCTGGTATCAACAACATCAGTGTCGGCATCAACTGTTTTCATGCCCCGATGTGCCAGGTAGCACTGGACTTGCTAGGCTTTTCTAGTTCCTGATTCTCTCTCAATACAGGAGCATTCAGCTGCAATGGCTTCTTCTGTGCCCTTGCAGAATTGTCACCATTACTGGCACCATTTTCCACCATTCCTGAAAGTCTTTGATTCCTCTTGGGGATTACCATCTGTACAGGGATCCACATTGGTCCTTCAGTAAGGACAGAGGCTCTTGGCCCAGTACATACTGGCCACCAATGCTGTTTACTTATCCTAAATGGCTTCCTTGGGATCCTTAGGATGTTCCTCAATCTGCAAGGTCCTGACCTTGGCTCAGTCCAGGGCAAGGTCGCCAATCCCCTCGGTAGTGTCCCTTCTTGAGCTGCCTACACTGCAGACACAGACCAAGGTTGCTCCCTCTGAGCTGATTCAGCCTGAACCATTGTAACGGGTACATGTGTTGCTGCAGGAGATCCCCATTGGTTCTGCTCTCTTCCTCCTCACCTGATGATTCCACAGTGCTGGATTTCTCCTCTTTTGTGCCTGAGAATTTTAAATCCTTTGAAGATCTCCTGAGGCAAATGGCTTCAGGCTGAGTTTGAGCAAGTACATCAAATTGGTGGGCATTCTCCAGTCCTCAGCTCCAGGAAGGGTAGCTCTCCCAATAAATGAAGCACTTTGGAACTCACAAAGACTTTGTGTCATACCCCAGCTTCCTTACCAACTACAACAAAGCATACTGACAAAAGGTATTACGTACCCCTGTGGGTTTTTTGAGTGCTTCTTTTCTGATCAAGCCCCAAATTCTATTGTTGTGATAGTGGCAAATGAGAGACTATGTTGGGAGAGAGATAAATCCATGCCTAAAGACTTTGGGCTTGTCTACACTGAAACGCTATCATGGCACTCTGCAGCTGCCCCGCTGTAGTGCTTCGCGCTGGGAGTGTGGGGGACCAGAGTGTTACCAGGCTGCTGAGAGGCAGGTGCCCAAGGGGGAGCATCACACGGCAGCCAGGCTCCATGGGCAGGGGCCGGCTCCAGGATGTGTTGTCGGCCAGTGCCAGGCGCCTTCAGGGCAGAGGTGTATCAGGCGCACATCAGAGCTGTGCTGCCCACCCTGCCTGGGGAGTGCCCAGCTGTGCAGAGGTGGCTGGCTCGGGGAGCAGGGCAGGGAGGGCTGCCCGGTCGCCAACCAGCACCATGGCTCCCATAGCCTGGAGAGCCAGGGGCCTGGGCAGGCCAGGCAGCTCCCACCAGCTTCTGATCTGCAGGCTCCTGGCAGGAGGTGACAGTTTTCAAACTGTGGGGCACATTAGGAGGCAGAAATCTCGGGGGGCATGCGAATATGATTGCTTGCCCTAGGTGTTAAATTTTGCTCTCAAGCAGGTCTCTTTAATAGACACCTTCTATCTGAATTGGTGATTGGTGTTGAGGTATGTCTCCCCCCCACAATCCCACTCATTCCACATGTTGTTGTCAAACTGAAGTTGGATCAAGCCAAACTGATTCTCATTGCACCAGCGTGGCCAAGACCACGTTGGTTCTCTGACCTTCTCAATCTACCTATTTGACCTTCAGTTCTTTTCTCCTCTATCCTGACCTACTGATTCGACACCACAGTCAAATTTGGCATCCGGTGCTGAGCAGTCTGCACCTCGTGGTGTGGATGCTGCATGGTTAGATGAAGAGGAAGCACTTCAGCAACTTCTGCTTAGTAGTAAGCCCCATCCTCTAGGGCTGCCTATTTGGCCAAGTGGAAAAGTTTTTTGGTTTGGTCACTAGCCCGGGGAATTCAGCCAAGGCAAGCCTATATTCAGGACGTTTTTGCATTACCTGTTACATTCTCTGGTCTCTCTCTCAGCTTCTTGAGGGTCCATTTAGCGGCAATCTTGGTGTTCCATCCTCTGATCCAAGGGAAGTCAATTTTCTCAAACTTCATGGTAGTGAGATTTCTAAGAGGAGATGTCAATTTCTTTCCACCTGTGAAAGAGGAGGTTTCTTTGTCGGACCTTAGTACTGTATTGGCTGCACTCATAGGATCTCCATTTGAGCCCATAGCAACCTGTTCTCTGTCGCTTCTTTGCCAAAAGATGGCCTTTCTTTTGCCGCAAGGAGAGCGAGTGAACTGCAGGTCCTGATGGCAGAGCCTCTATATACGCAATTTTTCAAAGACAAACTGACTCTGCAGCTGCATCCAAGATTTTTGTCTTAAGGTGGTTTACTGTTTTACCTTCATCAAACAATATACTTACCTGTATTCTTTCTGAGATGGACTCAAATACAGATGAACAGCACCTTTATACATTGGATGTGAGACCTAGCTTAGCATTTTATCTGTAAGGGATTAAAGAATTTTATCACCTCAGCTTTTTGTCTTCTGTGGGAATCAGATGAAGGAGATCAGTTGGTTTCCACATGGATGATTTCCAGAAGGATTACTTCCTGCATTACAGCAGCATATGAGGTAGCTCAGATGCACCTCCACAGACACTGGTAACTCATTCAACAAGGTCCCAAGCATCTTCTGTTGTTCTCAGTAATGGTTCTGTATGTTTTCAGTGCTGCTGTCTAGTCTTCTGTGCGTATTTTTATAAGACACTATGCTATTTTGACTGCATCTCAGTCTGATGCCACTTTGGAAAGGCAGTCGTCCAGTTGCTGTTTAACTACAGCCCAACCCCAAGCCCTACCTCCTTCAGTTACTGCTTGTGAATCACATGAGTGGAATATACATCTGCAGTCATTCGAAGATGAAAAACAGTTACCTATCTGTACTGTATCTGTTGTGCTTTGAGATGTTAGTGCAGACACGTATTCCACAACCCACTTTCTGTCCCCTCTGCATTGGAGTCTCAAATCTTGATACTCAGTGTAAAGGAACTAAGGAGGGGTCGGGGTGGTGGTGCCTTTAAATAGCTATGCGAGTGGCTAAGAGGGGCCCGATGGGCACTGCTAAGCAAAGTTCTCCAGCTTCAGTGCAATGGGTGTGTGCACACCTGAGTGGAATACATGGCTGCACCTGTGTCTCAAAGACCAGCGGATACAGTACAGATAAGTAGCTGTTTTTTCTTTAGCTGGACCCTAGTCTGGGGAGAGTTCAAATGAATCTATGTTTTGGGTGTATTTTATATATAGTAAATGGCTTTGGAATTCATATGGGAGCAACACTATATAAATACAACAGGAATCGCTTTTTGGGTGGGTAGATGGCTACTTGTCTCTAAATGCTCTGTTGTTGGCCTTGTCTTCTTTTCTCACTATGTTCTTTTGCTGCGTGACCTCATTTGGTCATGCTACTTCAGTTACTACCCTGTCTACAAAACAACATGAAGATCTACCTGTTCATCTCTATTTAGACTTGCATCTCTAACTGCCTTTTAGACATCTAAACCTGGATGTTCGCTGGTAATTCAAGCTCAGCATGATCAAAACGGAGCCTGCTTTTCTTTCTTTCTTTCTTTCTTTCTTTCTTTCTTATTACAGAAGAGAGAATGTTGGAGTTGTGAATAAAGGGAGAATAGTGGAATTGTTTTAATATTTATGTATTTATATTGCACTAACACCCCAAATATTCTAGATAGGAAAAGTGTCCTCTTACCTTATCTGTACACTGCTTGGCACACGGTGCTACATGAATAAATAATATCTGAATCTGGACTTCCTTCTTGCAGACCTCAGTGAGATCGGATCCCAGTGATATGCAGTTCTCAGTGATGAAGACTGATGAAAGAATATCAGCTAGGGAAAGCACAGTAAGCAGACCAATGTACAACACCATTCAGTGCATCTCAGTTGTTCTGACTGTAAACAGAAAGCCTTACCTGTGTCTGCCACTTTAGCATACAGTATTACGTAAAAGGTTCAGACGGTGTTATCTGAAAAGGAAGAATTAATTTGATTAAAATAAACAAACTATACGACAAACTAAAGTTGCTGTGGTATCTTTAGAAAAAGAGCTTAAAGTAATAGTAATTCTTAAACATTTCAGACATTTAACTCTTACGATGATTAGTGGTACTCACATTTAAGAACCGAATGCTTTAAGTGGTTATGACCAGAGATGGACTGAGGCCAAATCTTTGGATACACACACACACACTCAGACTTTGGGGAAACTCAAATTTCTTGTTATCAGCTATTACAGGTTTTTTGGGTTTGCACTGGGGCTTGTTTTTTCCCCAAATATGTTGAGAGACAGGATTTTATGGAGAGTAGGGATTTATTGGTATTTTAATACTCCTAAAATAGGCATTAGCATGAATAGTGCTTCACTTTTAGAGTGAGGGCAAACAGAGAATGATCTAAATTAAGATAGAAAATAGCCTTTTTGTTTAATATTCTGGTCAATCCAAGCAAACACAAAGCATGAGACATAAAACAAGTTCTCCCTTGTTTTCTTGTTATAGGTATTCTAGTAATAAGCCTCTGCTTTATGATGATCTCCTCCCCTCCCTATTTTACCCTGCATTGAGCTAGCTGCTTCTTTGTCTGATAGTAATGCTACTTACTTGGTCACCAGAGAATGCAAAAAGAGAGCATTGAAAACAGCCTTTCTTCCCCTAGCGACAAAATCTGTCATCTCTGGGGATTTCCTCAAATAAGAAGCATTTATCTAGCTAGATATTAAATTGTATGTCTTCATAATTTTAAGGAAATCATTTTAAAATTACTTGAATAACTTTTAAGGAAATTTCATTACATTATTAAATATTTTTTATGTTTAGAAATGTTATCTGTTTAGAAGCTTCGTTTATATGATTGCACTGTCAGTGATTAACATTAGCCACTAGAGTTACGATACGGTTTCCTTGCACTCTATGGATGACAATTCTCTGCATCCCAAAAAACACAATATCCTTTGATTTTGTGTTATAACTTGACCAATGGAACTAGACCTTGACCTGAATTCTGAAGGATAAAAGCTTTTCTTTTAGTAAAAACAGTAGTGTTTTTATTTTAAAATGGTGTTCTCACTGGGTATGTTTTTCACTTTGTCAATTGGCAGGTAAGCGTGGTGGTTGGCAAGAAAACATTGTTTCTTTTTAATTTGAATGATCCTGATAACCCAATTGATCTAGAATTCCAGCAGCGCTATGGCAACATTGTAACCTATAGATGGTGAGTAAGCACTAACTTCTTAATATCGCAAGAAAAAGCTGAGGTTTTTATCTTTCTAATGTTGTTTATTTTAATTTCTGATATTTATCCCACTATCACATCAGGTTTCAGAGTAACAGCCGTGTTAGTCTGTATTCGCAAAAAGAAAAGGAGTACTTGTGGCACCTTAGAGACTAACCAATTTATTTGAGCATGAGCTTTCGTGAGCTACAGCTCACTTCATCAGATGCATACCGTGGAAACTGCAGCAGACTTTATATATACACAGAGAATATGAAACAATACCTCCTCCCACCCCACTGTCCTGCTGGTAATAGCTCATCTAAAGTGATCATCAGGTGGGCCATTTCCAGCACAAATCCAGGTTTTCTCACCCTCCACCCCCCCCCACAAATTCACTCTCCTGCTGGTGCTAGCCCATCCAAAGTGACAACTCTTTACATAATCAAGTCGGGCTATTTCCTGCATAAATCCAGGTTTTCTCACATCCCCCCCACCCCCATACACACACAAACTCACTCTCCTGCTGGTAATAGCTCATCTAAACTGACCACTCTCCAAGTTTAAATCCAAGTTAAACCAGAACATCTGGGGGGTGGGGGTGTAGGAAAAAACAAGAGGAAACAGGCTACCTTGCATAATGACTTAGCCACTCCCAGTCTCTATTTAAGCCTAAATTAATAGTATCCAATTTGCAAATGAATTCCAATTCAGCAGTTTCTCGCTGGAGTCTGGATTTGAAGTTTTTTTGTTTTAAGATAGCGACCTTCATGTCTGTGATTGCGTGACCAGAGAGATTGAAGTGTTCTCCGACTGGTTTATGAATGTTATAATTCTTGACATCTGATTTGTGTCCATTTATTCTTTTACGTAGAGACTGTCCAGTTTGACCAATGTACAAATCAGATGTCAAGAATTATAACATTCATAAACTAGTCGGAGAACCTCACTCCTGGTCCCTCCAGCATGAATCGCATCTAAAACAAAAAACTTCAATCCAGCCCAGCGAGAACGGATTGTTCTTTGCAATTGGTCTATTAATTTAGGCTTAAATAGAGACGGGAGTGCAAGTATTTGCAAGGTAGCCTGTTTCCTCTTGTTTTTTCCTACCCCCACCCCCAGATGTTCTGGTTTACTTGGATTTAAACGGAGGTGGTCAGTTTAGATGAGCTATTACCAGCAGGAGAGTGAGTTTGTGTGTGTTGGGGGTGGGGGGGATGTGAGAAAACCTGGATCTATGCAGGAAATAGCCCGACTTGATTATGTAAAGAGTTGTCACTTTGGATGGGCTAGCACCAGCAGGAGAGTGAATTTGTGGGGGGGGGGGGGGTGGAGGGTGAGAAAACCTGGATTTGTGCTGGAAATGGCCCACCTGATGATCACTTTAGATGAGCTATTACCAGCAGGACAGTGGGGTGGGAGGAGGTATTGTTTCATATTCTCTGTGTATATATAAAGTCTGCTGCAGTTTCCACGGTATGCATCTGATGAAGTGAGCTGTAGCTCACGAAAGCCCATGCTCAAATAAATTGGTTAGTCTCTAAGGTGCCACAAGTACTCCTTTTCTTATCACATCAGGATTTTTTTGGCTATACAGTAGTCCTTTTAATACAATATTCCTTTTAGACTAAAGCAGTGGTTCCCAAACTGTGGGGTGTGCCCCTCTAGGGGAATATGGAGGAATGTTCAGGGAGTGCATGGTGGGGCTCAAGTCAGTTCCCACAGGGAGCGGGGAGGGAGCACCACCCAACCCCGCTTTATCCCCAGCAAGCTCTGGCCCCAGCTGCAGCTCCACCCCAATCCCAGTTCCAGCCGCAGGTCTGCTCTGGCCCCAGCCACTGCTCCTCTATGTCCCCTACTCCACCCCCAGCCCAGCTCTGCCCTCATTCCCTCTCCACCCCCAGGCCAGCTCCCCCTCTAGCCTCAGCTCCTCCCTCATCCCCAGTTCTGCCCCCGACTCCACCTTCATCCCAAGAGCCAACTGCAGTAATGGAGGGGGGGCACGGACAGATTCCATTACTGATAAGGGGGGCACGACAGGAAAAGTTTGGTCACCACTAGACTGAAGGAATCTGCAATTTACACTCCCCTTTACTGAAAATTCTGTTATTTAAAAAGCAGTGATGTCAAAATGAAACAGTAGAGATGTAGTCCCACACTTAGTAATGATATGGTTGCTGAAATGAGTGAGTGGTTTCTGTTTGGAGGAGAAGTTGGTGACACAGAGTCGGGGTACATTCTTGGTATAATCTGTTTTATTTACAAAAACATACACACCCGTGGCTGGCTTTGAGCTGACTTGAGCTCACAGGACTCGGACTGCGAAACTGTAAAATTAGACGTTCAGGCTCAGGCTGGAGCCCAGGGTCTGTGACTTCCCCCACAACTCAGCCCCAAGTCAGCTGATGCAGGCCAGCTGCAGGTGTTTGATTGCTGTTTAGACATACCAATAAAACCCCTTCAACAACTCTCTGGGTGAGTAACCAGCTTGTATGCAGCCTTTCAGTAAAGAGTTTCTCTTATCTTAATGACCATTTACGGTTTTCCATTTTTGATGAATTGGGGCTCTGTCTGTACAATTTATGAATTCTAGTTGATGTGAAGTTATATTATGAAAAATTGCTGTATGTATGTAAAAATGCCTGGATGTATGTGGATCCACCATTGCTGACAGGTATCAGGTACACACCAGACAGATACAATGGGGTGATGGCTCAGGACTCAACGACCCTGTTCAGATGCAAACACCTGGGAATGATGAGTGATCTCAAGCTTTGGAAATCCAGTTTATTTTACCCCTCTGAAGGAGGGGGAAAGGTAGGAGCAGCAATAGAAACTTACCAGGAGTAGAACAAAGACATCCAGGTGACCAGGAGGAGTTTAAATAAGGGAACATACAGTGACAGTGAGCTAGATAGGAAGAAGCAGCATGAGGCAGGAGAGAGCAAGATCACCTAGCAAGTAGCAGCCTCATAGGGCAGGAGGGTCCTGCTCACTTTTTAGAGCCCAGAAGTCCCCAAGCACTCTGGAAAGCCCAAAGAATGCCCTGGAGTGGTGAGAAAACTGAGGCAGGGACATAGAATCATGGAAATGTGGGGCTGGAAGGGACCTCAGGAGGTCATCTTGTCCAGCCTCCTCTGCTGAGGCAGGACAAAGTAAACCTATACCATCCCTGACAAACGTTAATCTGTTCTTAAAAGCTTTGAATGATGGAGATTCACAGCCTCCCTTGGAAGCCTATAATCCTAAAGTTAGATAAAGTTTTTCCTAATATCTAACCTAAATCACCCTTGCTGCAGATTAAGCCCATTACTTCTTGTCCTACCTTCACTAGACATGGAGAACAATTGATCACCATCCTTTTATAACAGCCCTTGAGATAATTGAAGATTGTTATCAGATCTCCCCCTCAGTTTTGTTTTCTCAAGACTAAATATACCCAGTCTTTTTTAAAATCTTTCCTCATAGTCAGGTTTTCTAAACCTTTTATCATTTTTGTTCCTGTTCTCTGGACTATCTCCAATTTGTCCACATCTTTTATTTAAGTTTATCACCTAAAACTGTACACAGTACTCCAGCTGAGACCTCACCAGAGTAGAGTGGGACAGTTTACCTCCAGTGTCTTACATACAACACTCCTGTTAATACACCCTGAATGATATTAGCCTTTTTTTGAAATTTTATCCCATTAAGAACATAACAATCATATTGGGTCAGACCACTGGTCCATTTAGCCCCGTATCCTTTCTTCTGACAGTGGCCAATGCCAGATGCTTCAGAGGGAGTAAATAGAACAGGGCAATTTCAAGTGATCCAGTTCCAGCTTCCTGCAGTTGGAGGTTAGGGACACCCAGATCATGGAGTTGCGTCCCTGACCATCTTGGCTAATAGCCATTGTTGGACCTATCCTCCATGAACTTATCAAATTCTTTTTTGAACCAAGTTATACCTTCAAACATTCCATGGGAATAAGTTCCACAGGTTGACTATGCATTGTGTGAAGAAGTGTTTTATTTTAAAATTGCTGCCTATTAATTTCATAGTGACCCCTAGTTCTTGTGTTATGTGAAGGGTTAAATTACACTTCCTTATTCATGATTTTATAGATCTCTATCATACTCCCTCCTTTTTAATCTCTTTTTTAAGCTGAAGAGTGCCATTCTTTCTAATCTCTTCTCATATGAAAAGCTGTTCAATACCCCTAATCATTTTTGGTGCCCTTCTCTGTTCCTTTTCCAATTCTGATATATCTTTCTTGAGATGTAGCGACCAGAACTGTGTGCAATATTCAAGGTGTGGGTGTACCAGCAATTTATGTAGTGGTATCTTGATATTTTCTGTTTTATTATCTATCCCTCTCCTAATAGTTCCTGACATTCTGTTAGCGTTTTTGACTGCTGCCGCATTATTGAGCGGCTGTTTTCAAGGAACTATCCACATTGACTCCAGGATCTCTTTCTTGAGTGGTAATAGCTAATGTAGATCCCATCATTTTGTATGTTTGGGTTATTTTTTCCACTGTGCATCAACATTAAATCTTCATCTGCCATTTTGTTGCCCAGTCACCCAGGTTAGTGAGATCCTTTTGTATCTCTTCACAATCAGCTTTGGACTTAACCATTTTGAATAATTTTGTATCATCTGCAAACTTTGCCACCTCACTGTTTACCCCCTTTTCCAGATCATTAATGAAAAAGTTGAACAGCACAGGTCCCTGTACCGACCCTTAGGGGACCCCTTCTTTTACATCTCTCTGTTGTGAAAACTGACCATTTATTCCTATTCTGCGTTTCCTATTTTTCAGCCAACTACTGATCCACAAGAGGACCGTCCTTCTTATTCCATGACACCTTGTTTGCTTAGAGCTTTTGATTTGGGACCTTGTCAAAAGCTTGTTGAAAGTCCAAGTACTCTATATCAAGGGTTCTCAAACTAGGGGTCGGGACCCCTCAGCGGTCACAAGATTCTTACATGGGGGTTTGCAAGCTGTCGGCCTCCACCCCAAACCCTGCTTTGCCTCCAGCATTTATAATGGTGTTAAATATATAAAGAGTGTTTTTAATTTATAAGGAGGGGTCAGACTCAGAGGCTTTCTATGTGAAAGGGGTCACTAGTACAAAAGTTTGAGAACCACTGCTCTATATCAACTGGATCACCCTTGTCCACGTGCTTGTTAACACCCTCAAAAAATTTTAGTAGATTGGTGAGACATGATTTCCCTTTACAAAAGCCATGTTGACACTTCATCAACATATTGTGTTTATCAGAGGAGTGAAGTTCTGGAATAGCCTTCCAAGGGAAGCAGTGGGGGCAAAAGACCTATCTGGCTTCAAGATTAAACTCGATAAGTTTATGTTGGAGATGGTATGATCGGATAACATGATTTTGGCAATTAATTGATCTTTAACTATTCATGGTAAATAGGCCCAGTGGCCTGTGATGGGATGTTAGATGTGGTGGGATCTGAATTACTACAGAGAATTCTTTCCTGGGTATCTGGCTGGTGAATCTTGCCCACATGCTCAGGGTTCAGCTGATCGCCATATTTGGGGTCGGGAAGGAATTTTCCTCCAGGGCAGATTGGAAGAGGCCCTGGGGGTTTTTCGCCTTCCTCTGTAGCATGGGGCACGGGTCACTTGCTGGAGGATTCTCTGCACCTTGAAGTCTTTAAACCGTGATTTGAGGACTTCAATAGCTCAGACATAGGTGAGAGGTTTATTGCAGGAGTGGGTGGGTGAGATTTGGTGGCCTGCATTGTGCAGGAGGTCAGACTAGATGATCATAATGGTCCCTTCTGACCTTAATATCTATGACTCTATCTATGAATCTATGTGTTTGTTGATTCATATTCAATTTGTGATCCACTATAACCCCCAGATCCTTTCAGCACTACTACTGCCTGGCCAATTATCCCGTTTTGTAGTTGTCCATTTGATTTTCCTTCCTAAATGCAGTACTTTGCACTTATCTTTTTACTGAATTTCATCTTGTTGATTTCAGACCAATTCTCCAATTTGTGAAGTTCATTTTCAATTCTAATCCTGTCCTCTAAGTGCTAGCACCCCTCCCTGTTTGGTGTCATCTGCAGATTTTGTAAGCATATTCTCCACTCCATTATCCAAGTCATTAATGAAAATATTGACTTGTACCAGACCCAGCAGGGCTGGCCTTAGGGTTGGGTGGACTGGGCAACAGCCCAGGGATGCCGTTTTAAGGGGGTGTCTCCGGAGCTGGGTGCCTTTCCTTCCCCCACAGTTCTGCTCTGCTGCTGTCTGCATCCACTGCTGCTCCTGCCCTACTCCCCTTCCCTGCTTTGGAGCTGCCCCTAGCCAAGCTGGTCCCAGGAGCCTTCTGTCTGCTGTTTTCCAACAGTGAGGACCTCAATGAGGCGAGGAGACCTAGACACAGGTCCCACCAACAAATATTTTTATATCTGCTGAAGGAGGACTCAGTGCATTTCTCTTTCTTTCTTCAGCAATCTGACTTTCATCCTGTTCAGGAGTTTTTTCTCATATTGTGTTATTGTCTATGCAGCCAGGCTGCCCAGCCATCTCTCTCTCTCTTTAAATGTTGATTTTGCTGTAGGTATGGTGATGGCTACATCATGATTGGCTTCTCACGTGGGTGCTTTGTTGTTATTTCTACACACATTCGTGAGATTGGTCAAGAGATTTTTCAAGCTCGCAATCATAAGGATAACCTAACCAGCATTGCAATATCACAATCACTAAACAAAGCTGCATCATGTGGAGACAACTGGTAAGTTATCATATTTGTTTATAAAATGTCTGAAATAGCAAGTGTCTTAAAGCAAACACTATTATTTATTTTCTTCATTGTTCTGACTTTTGATATCTTGTTTCTTTTTGCTTTTTTTTTTTAATCTTTCTTTTTCTGGTTGGCTAATGTGATACTTGAATACAAAAGTTTTAGTGACATACTTTCATTACTGTGCGCTACAGATTAGATACAGAATTCCTGTTAGTAGTACTAGGAATTCCTAGTTCATCTAATCCACTTCATGTGCTATTGAGAAAATTTAACCCATTTATGGGATACTAAGGGTTGATCTGCACACCATTTTTGTAACAGTATAACGGTATATCTGTTTAGAAACCAACATAGCTAAAAGTGTGGATGCAATTATCCAGTATAAAGGTGTTTATAACAGTATACCTGAATTTACGGGAATAAGCTATATTGCTGTAAGGACTGTTATATCAACTGTATAACTGGGCCCACACAAAGGGGAAGGTTGCACTATTTTTACTGTGTCTATTTTAAAACAAATATAGTGGTACAAACACTGTGTGTAGACAGTCCCTCCATTTGCTTGATGTCTAAACTTGACTCCTTTAGAACAAGGTAAAATGCATGCATCCTGCTCTGAAGCTAAGCAAATTTTGGCTTGGGCAAACCAGTACCTGGAACAGTTTCCAAAGGCTGGGTCCCTCCACTGAGAGACCATGCCACCATCCTTGAAGAGTTTTATCTCAGAAATAGACAAGAAGATAATCTCAATTTCTATGATGAGTATAATGTGAGAGTTGGATTTTCACACTGTGAACAACCAGACAGATTAATTGTTTGCATGTCTTTTATTATATATTTGTACAGCACCTAGCACAACGGAGTCCTGATTATTCATATTTATTATTTGTACTACAGTAGCACCTAAAGACCCTGACCCAGAGTTCTGGGTTGCATTATGTTTGGCATTTGACGGACGGACCCCAAAATGGTGGCCCCTTCTGGATGGAGTTTAGATTCTAACTAAGCTAATGATGGTTGGGGCCTCAGCAATGGCTACTGTAAAGCAAATAATAAACTAGACCTGCCATCCAGGTGGCACAAGGATATCAGTCTTTGGCAGAGAGCGCTTCCTTGATCAATGTATTGAAACCAGAGTGGTAATGCATGCCATTCACATTATGCAAGAACTGAAGGGCACAGTAGTTGGAATCCAAAGAGACAGCACTATTGCATCAACCACCAGAGGGTATAAAGAGCTGAATACTAAGCTCTTAAGTCTTTCAACTTTAGATCACTAGTTTAAATCCATCCCACTTTCATATTCAGTTGTTTCCACATGGTGATTATTCAGTAGCTTAATGAAAATGAGTCCAGTCTCTAGTAGGTGAGGGTCTGACTCACCAAAACCACCACCACATTTGTTACTAATTGGAACCCTTACTGGCAATCTCAGCAGAAAGGCCAGGATTTGAATGGATATGGAGACTGAATGTGATCCCCCTCATTCTTCTTTGAGTGCCTGTCCATATATATTGCACTGTTGATACGTATACATCCCAGGTTTCAGAGTAACAGCCGTGTTAGTCTGTATTCGCAAAAAGAAAAGGAGTACCTGTGGCACCTTAGAGACTAACCAATTTATTTGAGCATGAGCTTTCGTGAGCTACAGCTCACTTCATCGGATGCATACTGTGGAAACTGCAGAAGACATTATATACACACAGAGACCATGAAACAATACCTCCTCCCACCCCACTATCCTGCTGGTAATAGCTTATCTAAAGTGATCATCAAGTTGGGCCATTTCCAGCACAAATCCAGGTTTTCTCACCCTCCGCCCCCACACACAAGTGAGTTTGTGTGTGTGGGGGCGGAGGGTGAGAAAACCTGGATTTGTGCTGGAAATGGCCCAACCTGATGATCACTTTAGATAAGCTATTACCAGCAGGACAGTGGGGTGGGAGGGGGTATTGTTTCATGGTCTCTGTGTGTATATAATGTCTTCTGCAGTTTCCACAGTATGCATCCGATGAAGTGAGCTGTAGCTCACGAAAGCTCATGCTCAAATAAATTGGTTAGTCTCTAAGGTGCCACAGGTACTCCTTTTCTTTATACATCCCAGGCACTCAAGATTGGAGTGTTTTTGGCCAGCAGTGTCCATTGGGGCTGCACAGATGCTGTGAATGTCATTATGCTCACATACTAAAGGCATTACGGGTTTTGCAGGCCTCAGTGCCACTCAGTTCATCATTGCCCATATCTGTGAGATATAGCTCCCTAGTGTCTTAACACAATTTTCAACAACTTTTTGTGGATTGTTGTCTATATTAGTGTTAGTTAGGATAGTTTGCCTGTTGGCAAGGTTTGGTGGTTTACTTCCTTGTTTTCTTTTCATTTTCTCTTTTATCAGGAGCTTCTTCCTAATACTAAGGCTTAGGTCTCATCTGAAGTTGCCTGGCTTTATGTGTTGCTCCTCTCTGTATTGTGAGGTGCCATTATAAGTTAATGATGGGTATCCCAGATGCGTTTTTTGGATGGAGAGGGTCATATCCCTGGTAAATGCAAGTCCTTTTTCTAAAAGGACTTGAAGGCAAGAGAGGCACACCTTAAGCTGTTCGTATTTGACTGCTCTATGCAGCCTGCGTCTGATCCAGGGTGAGGAGAGCCTCCTTTTCCCCAGGCAGGTTTGATTTCAGTCCAGCCCATATGAGTTCCAATTACACTAGTTTGTGGGCCCCAACTTCTAAGACTGTCCCAACTATGGAAGTGGGTAGGACTGGAAAGGTCAGAACCTTGGAGAAAAAGGAGCATTACTCCTTTGGGAAGAGCAGGAGCAGATCCCTGCCGGGAATTCCTAGTAAAAAGAGGTCCAAGTTCCCTTTCCACTCCCAATCTAAAGAGACTCCTTTGTCTGAGTGGAGTACCTCTGGAACTCTGAGGGAGTAAGTTACCAAAACTCTGGCACCGTCTCAGGAATCAAAACTAGCTGCCTCTGAGACCAGAGCATCAGGGGCTACTTCAAAACCAAGTGCTCCGCCATCAACTTTTGCTGCACCAACCCTTTTTGATACCGGTCTCTTTGGTACTGTTTCCTTCGACAATGAGTACTTCAGCACTGGACACATCAGCATAATCCACCTTGGTGCTATCCATCGCCACACTGAGATTACGGCACCACCTTTCTCCATAGTGAAGAAGCATGCTGTATCAAAGGATATTCATGTCCTTATGAGCCAGAATCTCCATTGCTCTACACAGAGCTAAATTTCCTCACCAGAATGACGGGTGGTCATTCAGTGCAGACTGGGTGGTCTGCTCAGTGCAGGTTAACATTGTAACCTAGCACACTAGCTTCAGCAGCCTCCCCCTTAGACGTAGAGTGCTCTTGCTTCTCATCAAATTCCCAGCACAGCAGGGAGGGATCCCCTACATATTCACCAAGGACCCCCTCATTTGATCCTTATGCCTCTGAAAGAGAGTCAAGTGCTTCATTCATGGCTATATCATATAGGGGGTATGTGAATAGACATATGCCCTGGTCCCCTTCTCCTGGCCCCCAGGACCTTTTCCATGTAACATTCCATTATGGCCCTGTTAGAACTCCTGACGTCTTCATCATATGAGGCACCACCCTTCTGCACCACCATCCAGAGTAAAACCTCCTTTCCTGCACCTCCCCAGGGACCTAGGATTTCTCAGCTTGCAGTCCATGATGTTTGTAGGACCTTTTTTGGAAAGGTCCAGATCTTTCAGAGTTTCTACAAGATAGTATTTGCTGACAGAATGAAGGGTCAAGTGATATAAGCTTGGAGTATCCAATTTGATGTTGGGCTGTATCAGGGTCTGATATGAGCTAGCTAGTTTATATCCTCCTGCTGAGATTAGGGCTCTTTCTACAGGGCCCAGGCAGCCTCTGCAGCTTCTTTGCAAACTATACCCATTCCAGACATCTTCAGGGCAGCTACTTGGGGTTCAGTTCATACTTATACAGTTCATACGTCCATTCCCTTGTGGAAGCATTGAAATCTGATGCTTCTTTTGGCAGAACAGTGCTGCAATCTTTAAGTATACTCCAAGCACCCACTTCCTTACATTAGTTTACTGCTTGTGAGCCACCAAAAGTGGAATATATGTAGACAAGCACTCGAAAAAAGAAAAGTTACTTACAGTAAATGGTGTTCTTTGACATATGTTGTCCATCTATATTCTACAACCCTCCTTCCTTCCCTGCTACTGTGGAATCCTATAACACCTAGGTGGTGGCAAAGGAACTAAGTGGCAGTTGGGCACACACTGCCCATTATGCCCTCAGTCCTGGAGCATGTGGACACTTAAGGAACATGTGTGGCCCCAGAAGATACAGCTGGCAAAAAGATCCAATCTCAACCACATGGGGTACATGCTCACCAAGAGTAGAATATATATATGGACAGTACATCTTGAAGGATTCCAGTTACTGTAAAGTAATTTACTTAGGGATAATCCCTCCAGAATAGGGTTGAGGCAAGTGATGCAGCAGGGTAGGAAAGTTCCACAGTGCAGTAGCAGCACAAAGACTTCATGCTCCTGTGTTCTGAATCTAACAACTTTTAACTGATGTTAGTGTTTGTGGTCCAGGGACCAGTTGCTTAGGTCCATGATTCAGTGTTAGCCCATCGGGTGCTTCTATGTGTGTGCATGAGTGTATCTTGACAGAGCCACATGAGAAAGGGTAGTGTTATTTTTCCCATCCTTAAAGTCCTGAATGGAAAACTTCTCTTCCGCTTCTCAATATTTTTGTCCCATGAGAGGATGGATCATTCTCCCAGTGTCCAGGAAGAGCGCTCTATGATCATAATCATGCATCCATATAAGTAACATGATGTCTGTGCAACCAGCCTCAGTATTCAGTGCAGAAACTAAAATGCATACAAGGAGTCAGACACATTTGATTTTGGGACATGATTTCAGTTTAATATTTCTCTAAATTAATTTTTACTTGGCTTCCTATATATACTAAAGTATATAACGTCTAGGTCAGCGCTCTGGCCCGCTGCTCCTGCCAGGCCATGGGGCAGCGTGGCTGGCTCCAGCATAGTAAGGGGATGGGGAGCAGAGGGTGCCGGGGGGCACACAGGGGGCAGTTGGATGGGGCAGAGGTTCTGGGTGGAGGCGGTCGGAGAACGGGGGGGCTGGATAAGCGTGGGAGTCCCGGGCGGCCTGTCAGGGGGTGGGGGCGTGGATATGGGGTTGGGGCAGTCAGGGGACAGGGAGCAGGGGGGGTCGGATGGGTCAGGAATTCTGGGGGGGGCAGTCAGGGGACAGGGAGTGGTTGGATTAGGCGGAAGTTTGGGGGGGCGGTCGGGATGGGGAACAGGGGGGGTTGGATAAGGGTGGGGTCCGGGGGGGCGGTCAGGGAACAAGGAGCTGAGGGGTTGGATTGGTTTGGGGATTCTGAGGGGGGCAGTCAGGGTGCAGGAAGTGAGTGAGAAGGCGGATAGGGGGCGGGGGCCAGGCTGTTTGGGGAGGCACAGCCTTCCCTACCCGGCTCGCCATATAGTTTTGCAATCCTGATGTGGCCCTCGGGCCAGAAAGTTTGCCCACCCCTGGTCTAGGTTGACAGTGTCTGTTTTTCAAAAACTACATATTTGGGGAACCTAAAGCACTTGGCATTCTCCCTTTAATATTTTTTTTCTCCATAATGAACTTCTCTCTCTTCATTAACTACTTTCAGTTCATGATGGTTAGGATGGTAGTTCTAGTAAAAGTAGTGACTGTTTGTTTATATTTTGTTTTAGCATTAAGATTCATGACCTGTCAGAACTGAAAGAAATGTATGCTATAATAAACCTGGATGATGAAAATAAAGGTATGATAAAGTTTCCAAAGCTGATAGATATTTTGCCAAATCATGTAAAACAGAATTTTGTTTACATTAACATGTTTACAGGGGGGAATGTACAGAGAAGAATATTTATTGAAAAGCTGTATAAATATAGACTATTGTTAACTCCCTCCTTTCCAATGTGTATGTATTATGAGATGGTCTATTTGCCAAACTGGGTATTTAACGTAGCTTTTGGGGGTGGAAGTTTGGTGTTTTTTTTTTAACAAAACACATAGATCTTGTTTTTCAAAACAGTTGATTGTCCAGTATTTTTGAATCTGTAACATAGTATATTCAAATTACTAAAATAATAATGTGTTTATTTTTTCCCGTTTTGCTTTTCTGAGAGGCATGTTCTTGTGCTAAGAGTATGTATATCTCTGGAGCAGGAGTCCCTCCCACTGTTACCTCCTATTTCAGTATTGGATTCATTTATTGTGAATTTCGATAAAATTCACTCTGAAACTAAGACCAAATTAGCGGGTTATGGTCTGTGATGATAAACTATTTCTGTTCCATTCTACATAGGTTTTTATACTTAAGTACAAAGGGTGTGAAAAAATTAGGGCTGTCAAGCAATTAAAAAATTAATCGCAATTAAAAAAATTAATTGTGCGATTAATCACACTGTTAAACAATAATAGAGTCCCATTTATTTAAATATTTTTGGATGTTTTCTACATTTTCAAATATATTGATTTCAATTACAACACAATACAAAGGGTACAGTACTCATATTATTTTTGATTACAAATATTTGCACTGTAAAAAAACAAAAGAGATAGTATATTTCAATTCACCTCGTACAAATACTGTAGTGCAATCTCTTTTATCATGAAAGTTGAACTTACAAATGTAGAATTATGTACAAAAAAAAAACTGCATTCAAAAATAAAACAATGTAAAACTTTAGAACCTACAGGTCCACTCAGTCCTACTTCAGCCAATCGCTCAGACAAACAAGTTTGGTTATAATTTGCAGGAGATAATGCTGCTCATGTCTTGTTTACAGTGTCACCTGAAAGTGAGAACAGGCATTCGCATGGCATTGGTAGCCGGCATTGCAAGATATTTACGTTCCAGATGTGCTAAAGATTCATATGTCCCTTCATGCTTCAACCACCATTCCAGAAGACATGCGTCCATGCTGATGACTGGTTCTGCTCGATAATGATCCAAAGCAGAGCAGACTGACACGTGTTCATTTTCATCATCTGAGTCAGATGCCACCAGCAGAAGGTTGATTTTCTTTTTTGGTGGTTTGGGTTCTGTAGTTTCCGCATCAGAGTGTTGGTCCTTTAAGACATCTGAAAGCATTCTACACACCCTGTCCCTCTCAGATTTTGGAAGGCACTTCAGATTCTTAATCCTTGGGTCGAGTGCTGTATCTGTCCTTACAAATCTCACATTGGTACCTTCGTTGCGTTTTGTCAAATCTGCTGTGAAAGTGTTCTTAAAATGAACATGTGCTGGGTCATCATCCAAGGCTGCTACAACATGAAATATGTGGCAGAATGTGGGTAAAACAGAACAGCAGACATACAATTCTCCCCCAAGGAGTTCAGTCACAAATTTAATTAAACACATTTTTTTAACGAGTGTCATCAGCATGGAAGCATGTCCTCTGGAATGGTGGCCAAAGCATAAAGGGGCATATCTGGCATGTAAATACCTTGCAATGCTGGCTACAAAAGTGCCATGGAAATACCTGTTCTCACGTTGTGGTGACGTTGTAAATAAGAAGAGGGAAGCATTATCTCCTGTAAATGTAAACAGACTTGTTTGTCTTAGTGATTGGCTGAACAAGAAGTAGAATTGAGTGGACTTGTAGGCTCTGAAGTTTTACATTGTTTTGTTTTTGTGTGCAGTTATGTAACAACAACAAAAAATCTACATTTGTAAGTTGCACTTTCATGACACTACTTTATATGAGGTGAATTGAAAAATACTATTTATTTTGCTTATTTTTTACAGTGCAAATATTTGTAATCAAGAATAATATACACTTTGATTTCAGTTACAAGACAGAATACAATATATATGAAAATGTAGAAAAACATCCAAAATATTTAATAAATTTCAATTGGTATTCTATTGTTTAACAGTGTGATTAAAACTGCGATTAATTGCGATTAATTTTTTTGAGTTAATTGCGTGAGTTAACTGCGATTAATCAACAGCCCTAGAAAAAATATTCTTAAGTAATGAAACTTCGACATGGTCACATTTTTTAAAAACAATAGAATTGTTTGTGGGTTTCACTGACAACCAAGTAGCTATTTTTGTTGTTGTAGTAAAAGCTTGTCAATATTTTAGGTCTAGATCACCTGGCTTGGACAGATGATGGACAGTTGTTGGCAGTGTCTACACAAAGAGGCTCACTTCACGTCTTCTTGACAAAGCTTCCAATCCTTGGAGATGCTTGCGGCACACGGATTGCGTACCTCACTTCTCTTCTTGAAGTTACTGTGGCCAATCATGTTGAAGGAGTATGCTAGCCTATTAATTTTTCACTTAATTAAGGTGTAACTTTTAAATAAGTAATAACAATGAGAAAATTTGGTATGATTTTCTCATAGGAGCTACCAATCACAGTTTCTGTTGAAGTGGAGCCAAACTTTGTTGCTGTAGGTCTTTATCATTTGGCTGTAGGAATGAATAATCGTGCTTGGTTTTATGTACTTGGAGAGAATAGTAAGTATGACTGTAGTTCTCTTATCTTAAAGTATCATATCAACCATTATCTGCAAAATATATGTCCATTTTATAAAATAGGTGTTTTGTTTAACTCTTCTAATATCCTACTTAGTGCAAGGTGTTGTTATTGTATAATCTCATGGGACACCAAAATTCAGGACTGCACATTGGATTCCCAGAATTTGAATTAGTACAAACAAGACATTGTGGAGGCAATTAGAACAAAAATTCAGGGTTCCCAGGATTGGATGAAGCCTTTTATTCTTTATGTCATCAGGTCAAACGCAGCTCATGCTGCCTGAAAGTCACTTCCAGATGAAGGTTGTTTGGCTTATGTAAAATTAGTTAATGGTCTCAGTTGATATTGGCAGTCCTAACAGAGAGGCTGAGGCTAAACTATTCTCAAATTCCTAGCGGTGTTCCCTCCAGAGTTTAGATGGTTTTGTGGGGCAGAGTGGAAAAGTTTGTGCTATACCTGTTTTTTTAGGCAACAGACTTAAGTCTCGGTACTTGTCAATCCAACATCTTTTATGAATAAAAAGATTACTCTAAAGGGAAAAAGGTCCAGCATAGATGGACTAACTGTAGGTTAGTGAGGTTTTGTTGGGGAAAGAGGGTCCCTTTTAACCCTTAGTAACATAAGGATGCAACTGCTGTCTCATAGTCTCCCATGTTTCTGTCAAGAGTTCCTCCTACTTCTCCACATTTTACTCCCCTGCCTATAATAATTAGATTATTATGAATTACTCAGGTAGGTAGGAAGAACATAAAATGGACCATGCACAATTTCTTTTTTTTTTTTTTTTGCCCCTTCCCTTCCCCTTAAATTCTGTAGGTGTAAAAAAGCTTAAAGACATGGAGTATCTGGGGACAGTAACCAGTATATGTCTTAATTCTGACTATGCTGCTGCACTCTTTGAGGGTAAAGTCCAGTTGCATATGGTAAGTATACATAAGATTTTGAACTCTGAAAGGCCAGCTGAACTGAGGTGGCAATAGACTGAGGAAGAAATTGTGAGTCCTAATGATAGCAAAATTGGTCTGAGTGGAAGTTAGGTGCTGAGTGGGTGAGGAGATGTAACTAACTGAGGTAGAGTTTAAAATCTTCCAAAAAAGTATTTTAGTAGCAAACATGAGAACAACAACTGAGTTACAGGTGGCTTGCAGAAGTGTACATTCTGTCTTGAAGTGGCAGTGGATGAGAAGAAAGTGCTAGCTTATGAGGTGTTTAACAAGCTTTCTTTGGAAGCTCTGTATGAGGTCTTAGGGGAGCAGCTAGTGGTTTATAAGTGGTACATATGAAAGGGCAAATCTGAGCTAGTTATAACAACTAAGGTAATGCCTTAGTGTCAGTTTCATACAGACAAAATTCATTAATATCTCACTAGTGGTGGTGATTTTAGTTTTGCTTATTCCTTATACTTTAGATAGAAGGTGAAGGTTTGGATGCTCTGGAAGAACGAGAGACTCGACTTTTCCCAGCGGTGGATGATAAATGTCGAATCTTGTGCCATGCTCTTACTGGTGATTTCCTCATCTATGGTACAGATGTAAGTATATTACTTGTTTCAAATTCTTCTTAGATTCAATAAGTTTCTGGTTTTGATTACTTGGACTATTTCTCTTCATACAATAGGCATAAAGTGTATGGTTCTGCTATGCAATGTACCAAGACTTACTTTGTATGCAAGCTATATTTTAGGCAAACAGAGACAAAATTTTAGCCAGCTTCCTGAATTATTTAGGTCTGTGTGTGATGCAGTTGCACTGGCACATTACAATGGTTCAGTTGGTTTTGGTTGATGCTCAGCTTCGTAACTTAAGGCCAAGTCCTGCTTTCATTGAAGTCATTGTCAAAACTGCTATTGAATTTATTATTATTACACTGGTGCCCAGGGGTATCTATCAAGGATTAGGTCTCCATTGTGCTAGGAGCCTTACAGACTTGCAGGAAAAAGATAACCTAGATTATGAGGGATTATTATGTGACAACTGCATAGGAGTATCATCCAACACATGCCGTCTCCTTTACAAACATAAAGGCACAGTTTCTGCCTCCAACAGCTCACAGTCTAAAAAGATACACAGAGTGGAGGGATTAACAGGTGCCCTCTGGGGCACCTGGCATTGGCCACTGTCAGAAGACAGGATACTGGGCTAGATGGACCTTTGTTATGTTCTTATGTTACCACAGTAATGATTAGCCACATCCTAACCTATAAAAATGATTTTTAGTTTGGTTGGCTTTGTTTATAAATTGTCTGTATATCTAGAGTTGCCCCTCAACCTTGCACTATTAATGAGAGAGTTTCTTGTAGACATTGCTTTAGAAGTGTGTCTTCACAATGTGTTACCCCCCAAAATCAGACTCCGTGCAGTGGCTTGCCTATATCAGTAAATCAGGTTCTCAATTTGTCTGGTTTTGGTAGGTGAAAGGAGGTGAGCCACCCTAAAGGAATTGCCAAGATTTTACCAGAGGTTTTTCCCCTCTGACCTTTGGAAAACTCCCCAGAACAGGCTAACTCTGTTGACCTTTGGGAGTACACAGATACAGCTATCCACTCAAAGGATTGACACTCGGGCGTAAGTTTTGAAAACAAAAATATTCTTTATTTAATGTATCAATGTTCTCTGATACAATAAATCTTAAAAGCATATATAAACAAAACAAAACACAAATTCTGTTAGCAAAAGTATACACATCAAAGTACCCAATACTGTAGTACCATCCAACTGGAAATATATTTAAGTGGTTACATTCTACATGCAGTGATCAGTCACATGTAGGATGCTGAAAGCAAGTTCTTACTTAAATATTAAAACTGTATACATAGTAACAAACATACATACACAAACATCCAACTTTATTATCTCAGGCATTCAGATTCATATATCCTGTTTTCTCCTTATACCATGGTCGTCATGCTTACTTTTCCGCAGTCTTCTTTCCCTCAGATCCATCAAATGGTCCTTCTGTTCTGTCATAGTTACTTCTTAGCTGCTGCTGCTGTCTTTGCTTCTCTGCTACTGACTCTGTAACCCACACACCTCCTGGGTGTGGTGTTTTGTCCCATCTAGTAGCACCAAGGTCTCTTAGAGAGAGAGATAAAATGAGTCTGCTCTACAGCCTTAGCTAACAGCTAGTTCGCTTTTAGCTCATTCAGTAGAGGCTCATGCACTAAGCTCTAGAGGTCCCAGGTTCTATCCCTTCTGTCGACTTTACACCTCTGCATGATTGCTTGGTCTGCCACAACAGCTCCCTAGCCCTGTTCTTCCCTTCTTTAGTGACTTCAGCTCTCTTCCTGCTTCTTCTGACTTCTCCTGCTGACAAACTCTCTTCCTTCTGCTCTCTCATTCCAATGTCTCTGACAATGACCAACACACACACTCAAGCATCTCAGCTTTCTGCCTTATACACGCTTTTTGGCCTATTCTGATTGGTTACTTCCTCAGTCCTTCTTGTTAGCATACCTATCCTCCATTCATCTTTAAGCCTACTCTGATTGGTCTGTTCTTATAACCCAATCATAGCTGCTAAATGCATCTATCAATCAACGCTGGATGTGGTTGAAAACCTGTGCCATGCTCAACTGACCCCTCCCTTCAAGTTTTGTAGTGACCTTTATCTCACCGCAGCCTGCCAGTTTGCTATAGGCCAAATTGGTCCAAGACCACCATTTACTCTGGCTTAGATTACCTGTTACCACCATCTTGTTGTCCCTGGCTGTAACCACTTAAAACTGCCTTTCTTAGTTATTAAACCCTTATAACTATGAACACTTATACATTTATATGCATCTTAACATTAGGATTCACTGTTACCACTCCAATTTTTACTAATTTAAATAAGTTTAATTTTGATTCCTCCCTTGCTTCAGCTAGTGATGGCAGGGCAATGTTCTTAATGCTGTATTCCTTACTGTAGTACGGTAGGCACTCACCGCCATGGCGCCTCCTGCTGTTGTCTGGGAATTAGCTCAGTTCCAGCCTCAGAGTGCCTCCTGCAGGCTGGTGTCTTTCTACCGGTGCCTGCTTCATCCTGCTCTCCACCACTTATCGCACTTCAGCCCCCGCGTTCCTCCTGGACTCCGGTGCCCCGTACCTTGGGGTGCTGCCCCTCAGCAGTGCCCCCACACTCTGCGTCTCCCCTACCCAGGGAATCCCAATCCCCTCATCCCACCTTGCCTCAGTGACCCACTGCCAGTCCTCATCTAGCCCCTTTCCTCAGGGCAAACTGCAGTCTGAAGTGGCCACTCATCAGCAAGGGGGTTTACCTGCTGCCTTTCCAGCCCCAGCTGCCTCCCTGCAGCCCTAGTACCTCCCCTGCCCTTTAGCAAGGCCTCATCCTGGGGACTCACCAGACCAGAGCTCCTCAGCTCTGCCTGCCTTTCCCCAGCCCTGCTCTGCCTCAGGTACCCTGCTTGATCTCCCAGGCAACCTGGTCCTCTCTGCTCCTCAGCTGGAGCAAGAGTGTCCTCTCACTCCCTCAGTCTGCCCTTTTATCAGGGTCAGCTGGACCCTAATTGGGTGTGGCCACCCAACCAGCCTCCCTTGGCTGCTTTTAACCCCTTCTTAACTGGAGTGGAGTGACTGCCCCACTACACTTACACAGAATAGAGCAGCTGAAAAATCTCTTTTATCAGAGGGATTTGAATTAAGAGAGGGTGGTGGCTTTGAGGACAAGCTCATGAAATGCATTTAATATGTTGGGAGTGATGGGAAATGCAGTTTTGAGAAAGTTCTGAGTGGACATACAGTGTGTGAAGGCTGACATCATTGGTGGAGGGGAAGGAATGGAAGAAGCACCTTTGAAAAATGAATGAAGTGATAAACAGCTACACATCATTATCTGGGCTGGCATCAGGTATATGAAAACCAAAGGATGTGTTGGCACAACCCACAACTTCCTCACAATTTTTAATGTAAGTTTTTGAACAGAAGTCTAGAAACTAGAATAACCAAGATGATCAGGCAGAGAGATGAGAGAAATTACAAGCAGTAGAAAGAAAAATTGTCTGGCAGTTGTATGAATTGTTTTCGTTAGAAGATTATTCTGGACTCATCAAGAATGAGTAGATTTGGATTTTTATCCACTGGTATTTTTTAATGTATGTACTATACTCTTGCTGTGTGGCTGTAGCTCATCATCATAATAGCAGATGTTGTGCATCTGGGGTTAAACTTCATTTCAGACTAGCAGCAGCACAGAGATGATATACAGAGATGATATACTACTTCCAAGAAGAAGTCTTAACCATATAACTAACTAGAACTCATATGGAACGGGTCCCATATGAGGAGAGATTAAAGAGGCTAGGACTTTTCAGCTTGGAAAAGAGGAGACTAAAGGGGGGATATGATAGAGGTATATAAAATCATGAGTGGTGTAGAGAAAGTAAATAAGGAAAAGTTTATTTACTTGTTCCCATAATATAAGAACTGGGGGCCACCAAATAGAATTAATGGGCAGCAGGTTTAAAACAATTTAAAGGAAGTTCTTCTTCACACAGCGCACAGTCAACCTGTGAAACTCCTTGCCTGAGGAGGCTGTGAAGGCTAGGACTATAACAGGGTTTAAAAGAGAACTGGATAAATTCATGGAGGTTCAGTCCATTAATGGCTATTAGCCAGGATGGGTAAGGAATGGTATCCCTACCCTCTGTTTGTCAGAGGATGGAGATGGATGACAGGAGAGAGATGACTTGATCATTACCTGTTAGAAAGAAAAGGAGTACTTGTGGCACCTTAGAGACTAACCAATTTATTTGAGCATGAGCTTTCGTGAGCTACAGCTCACTTCATCGGATGCATACCGTGGAAACTGCAGCAGACATTATATACACACAGGGATCATGAAACAATACCTCCTCCCACCCCACTGTCCTGCTGGTAATAGCTTATCTAAAGTGATCATCAAGTTGGGCCATTTCCAGCACAAATCCAGGTTTTCTCACCCTCCACCCCCCCACACACAAACTCACTCTCCTGCTGGTAATAGCCCATCCAAAGTGACAACTCTCTTCACAATGTGTATGATAATCAAGGTGGGCCATTTCCTGCACAAATCCAGGTTCTCTCACCCCCCTCCAAAAACCACACACACAAACTCACTCTCCTGCTGGTAATAGCTTATCCAAAGTGACCACTCTCCCTACAATGTACATGATAATCAAGGTGGGCCATTTCCAACACAAATCCAGGTTTTCTCACCCCCCCACTAACACGGCTGTTACTCTATTACCTGTTAGGTTCGCTCCCTCTGGGACACCTGGTATTGGCCACTGTCGTTAGACAGGATACTGGGCTGGATGGACCTTTGGTCTGACCCAGTAGGGCCATTCTTATGTTCTCATGTAGAATATGCACTCTTTCAGAAACCTCTTTTTTTTCTTTCCTCAAATCTTACCTGCTGGTTCAAAAACCCTGGTGTCAACCACAGTTGGAACTTTTGCAAGACTGTAGACAAGGTTTAAGACAGTAAAACTACAACATGTCTCTCTGAGTCAAGTTGTTTCTGACATTTATATAACTTCCCTTTAAAACATCATGTGCAGTTGTTAGTACATTTTAAAACTGTCAGAAGAGCTTCTGTTCCTTTATTTTATAGTAGTGATATTATTTCCACTGTAAACCATAAAGTAAATAATTTTCTTGTTCAATTTATCAAAGAAAAAGTTTTGAAAATGTACAACCTTTTGGCCAGTTAATGGTTCAGTAGAACATTCTGTTGTGCTGTAAAAGACCTTTGGGTGAGATGTTAGAGCTTCAGTATCCCATGGGCTCAAACCTTCGATATGATGATCACTTTCTGTGGGGTTTTGAATACCTTCCACTGCTACTGATTTCAATGGAAGTTCAGGGTACAAAGTACTTCAAAGGATTGAGCCCTTAATTACTCTACATAAGATGCTATGCGGGATTTCCAAAGGAAAGGTAGCATTTCAGTCTCCAACACCATCATTGGCTTAGTAACATAGTTAAAAAGCTCATTAGTGATTTTTGCAATTAATTATTGGGCTTTTTGGTTATTTCATTTTTTTAAATTATTTTTTCTAAGATGTTACTGATTTAATATAAGATACTGAATTCACAGCTGAACAATGGGGTGTGTAAGAGTTTTACAATTGGCTATTTTGTGTGATTTTTAAAATATCTTCTGTACATATAAGAGGAAAATGGAAAGAATCCCTAAAAGATTTCTCCATATTAAAATATAGCATTAATTAAATAACTAATTCACTTTTTTTCGAAGGTAGGTACACAGATTTTAAGAGCATCACACTTGCTATATGGAGACAGAGACAAATTTGATAGCTCTGGATACTACATGCTAAGCCCTTCTCTCTAGAGCAGCTTTTCTCAAACTGTGGGTTGGGACCCCAGGGTGGGTCAGGACCCTGTTTTAAAAGGGTTGCATGGGCTGGCGTTAGACTTGCTGGGGCTGAAGGCAAAATCTGAGCTCCACCCACCAGGGCTGAAGTCCTCAAGCTTCGGCACCCGCTAGGATGGCAGGGCTTGGGCTTTGGCCCCCCAACCTGGGGTGCTGGGGCTCGGGCTTCGATCTCCTTTCCTGGGATCGTGTAGTAATTTTTGTTGTCAGAGGGGGGTCATGGTGCAATGAAGTTTGAGAAACCCTGCTCTAGAGAGCCATCCAATTCTCTCTGCTTCCAGAACCGTATAGAATGTAGCAGACCTTCGTCTGCAGACCATGGGCACAGGGAAATCTCTCATTTTTTCTCCAGCACTTTTCTAAACTCATATTCCACTTCTAGATGGTTTTTGATCCATTTGGCTCAGAATTCTAAATATTTGAGAGGGGGATAAATTTCTTTGAGCTGATTTTGCAGCTTTCCCTTGCTACAGCGCTGCGTCGGGGGGGGGGGAGAATGCTCAGCCAAGGGACTAGAGATAAAGTGTTTTTTCTGCTCCTCTGTTCTACCAGAGTATATTGAAGAGTACTTTTGCCTCTTTGGCAACCAGGAGAACACATTCACACAGGAATCAAGGTTGCCTCAAAAAATGCCCTAGATTCTCCTGTCATCCCCCCCAGAGCAGCTTCCAATGGGGAAAAGAAGGCCAAAGACACTGCAATTGCTCTTCCTTAAATACTCCTTACGCTTAGCACTCCAAGATAGGACAAACCAAAATGGAGTAACATTAGAGTGACTCCATCAAAAAGAATTACCTCAACATTGTTTATATTATACACTGGACCCTTGCTAGAACACGTGTCTATATAGCGCAGATTCGCATATAACGTGGTTGCGGCCATGGATCCCAAATTTAATTACTTTAATTGCAATTCATTTTAACGTAGTCCCGCTATAATGCGGTCCCTGCGTTAACGCTGTACCGCGCATGGATCCCAAATCCCATGTTCTAGCGAGGGTCCAGTGTAGTTACTTGTGTAGTACCAGTATTCTGATTGTTCTATTATTTATTATTAGACAGGTGTTATTCACTATTTCTACATTGAAGACTGGCAATACGTGAATGAATATCGGCATCCTGTCAGTGTGAGAAAAATCTTTCCAGACCCCAATGGAACCAGATTGGTTTTCATTGATGACAAAAGTGATGGCTTTGTGTATTACCCAGTAAGTCAATTCAGGACATTCATTCCACTTTACTTACAAGCAGAGTTCTCTGTAAGTTATTTCTACTCATGGTGTGTTTTATCACAGCATAAAGAAACATGTGCCAATTGGACTGATTTGCCACCCAAAAAAAAAAGTGAGGTGGCAGAGGGAATAACCTAGTGATAATATAGGGACATAGAATCTCCACACCAGATCAGACCAAGCTTGCCCGTGGAAAAAATTTCTTCTTAACCCCAGGCAGTTGGTTTACGTACTGTTTATAATTACTTTATCTTATCTAATGTTACTGTGTATTTTCTCATTATCCATATTAATGTCTCATTTTTAAGCCTGTTATGCTCTTGGACTCAACATCTGAAGCAGAGAGTTCCATAGACAAATGTGTGTTGTGTAGTAATAAAATTTGTATTAGTTATAAATGTACTTCACTGTGCCCCCTTGTTCTTGTCTTATAAGAAAGGCAAATGAGGAGAACCCAGTTTACTTTCTTAGTAACATTCATTATTCATCTTCTCTCTAAACTAAATAATTCTACTATTCCCAGTTTCTACCCATATAAAAGTCTTCTAATGTCCTCAGTAATTTTCATTGCCCAGTTCTGGACCACTTATTCCTTTTACGTCTTTTTTGAGATGGGTGACCAGAACTGATCACACTATTCAATGTGTCTCATTTGCTTTCTGCTTACTAAATAATTTTACATTACTATTTTTTGTAGGTAAATGATGGTGTTCATGAGATCCCAAATTTTCCACCAACCATTAAAGGCATTCTGTGGGAAAATTGGCCAATAGATAAAGGTGTATTTGCTGCTTACGATGATGATAAAATATATACTTATGTCTTCCATAAGGATACCATACAAGGTACTGTAAATACTTTAGTTAATCTTATTAGCTATCTGACATTTCATGGCAATTAAAGTTAGAACATGTCAGACAATAATATTAAATATTGCCTTTTAATTTGTATTTTCATGTGAATTTGCTGCATGTCAATAATAGTACTGCTACTGGTAAGTATTGGCCGCCACAGAGCAGGCAGATACTGTGCAAGTTTCTCCACACAGCTCCCACAAGGCATTTCGGTCCTAACCTGCAGATTTCCTACTACTCTAGTCCATGGCCTTTAGCCTGCCAGTTGTGTTGAATATTTGTGAGAAATGTCTGCTGGGAACAGGATCACAAAACTCATTTCAGTTTTAAGCAGAATTTTAATCGAGGTCATCTAGTGCAGTGGTTCTCAACTAAGCGTATGTCTACACTACGAAATTAGGTTAAATTTATAGAAGTTGAGTTTTTAGAAAGTGATTTTATACAGTCGATTGTGTGTGTCCCCACACTAATGCACTAAGCGCGTTAAGTTGGCAGAGTGCGTCCACAGTACCGAGGCTAGCGTCGACCTTCGGAGCATTGCACTGTGGTTAGCTGTCCCACAGTTCCTGCCGTCTCCACCGCCCATTGGAATTCTGGGTTAAGCTCCCAATGCCTGATGGGACAAAAACATTGTCGCAGGTGGTTTTGGGTACATGTCGTCAGTCGCCCCTCCCTCCGTGAAAGCAATGGCAGACAATCGTTTCACGCCTTTTTTCCGTGCAGGCACCATACTGCTTTCAGCAGACAGTGCAGTAAGTCTGCAAACCATAGTCGTCCCTGAACGACCACTTCCGCTGGCACTCTGCTCTCCTGGTGGTCTCGCAGGGCCGCTTCCGCTGCAACTCTGCTCGGCTGCTCTTGGCTCGCCATACCCCGGCAAGCGTGCAGCCTGCTCAGCTGTTGTGTCCTGGCAGCAGACAGTGCAGTAGCTCTGCAAAACTGGTCATCAAATCACCGCTTCCCCTGCAACTCTGCTCTCCTGCAGACGCCATACCACGGCAAGCATGGAGCCCGCTCAGATCACTGTGGCAGTTATGAGCATTGTAAACAGCGTGGTGACGAGAGCAATGAGGACATGGACACAGACTTCTCTCAAAGCATGGGCCCCGGCAGTTTGGCCATCCTGGTGGCAATGGGGCAGGTTCATGCCATGGAACGCCGATTCTGGACCCGGGAAACAAGCACAGACTGGTGGGACCGCATAGTGTTGCAGGTCTGGGATGATTCCCAGTGGCTGTGAAACTTTCGCATGCGTAAGGGCACTTCCATGAAACTTTGTGACTTGCTTTCCCCTGCCCTGAAGCACAAGAATACCAAAATGAGAGCAGTCATCACAGTTCACAAGCGAGTGGTGATAGCCCTCTGGAAGCTTGCAACACCAGACAGTTACTGGTCAGTCGGGAATCAATTTGGAGTGGGCAAATCTACTGTGGGAGTTGCTGTGATCCAAGTAGCCAACGCAATCACTGAGCTGATGCTATCAAGGGTAGTGACTCTGGGAAATGTACAGGTCATAGTGGATGGCTTTGCTGCAGTGGGATTCCCTAACTGTGGTGGGGCGATAGACGGAACACACATCCCTATCTTGGGACCGGACCACCAAGGCAGCCAGTACATAAACTGAAAGGGGTACTTTTCAGTGGTGCTGCAAGCACTGGTAGATCACAAGGAACATTTCACCAACATCAATGTGGGATGGCCGGGAAAGGTACATGACGCTCACATCTTCAGGAACTCTGGTCTGTATGAACAGCTCCAGCAAGGGACTTACTTTCCAGACCAGAAAATAACCATTGGGGATGTTGAAATGCTTATCATTATCCTTGGGGACCCAGCCTACCCCTTAATGCCATGGCTCATGAAGCCATACACAGGCACCCTGGACAGTAGTCAGGAGCTGTTCAACTACAGGCTGAGCAAGTGCAGAATGGTGGTAGAATGTGCAGTTGGACGTTTAAAAGCGCGTTGGCGCAGTTTACTGACTCAGTTAGACCTCAGTGAAACCAATATTCCCATTGTTATTACTGCTTGCTGTGTGCTCCACAATATCTGTGAGAGTAAGGGGGAGACATTTATGGCAGGGTGGGAAGTTGAAGCAAATCGCCTGGCCGCTGATTACACACAGCCAGACACCAGGATGGTTAGAAGAGCACAGCCAGGCACGCTGCGCATCAGAGAAGCTTTGAAAACCGGTTTCATGGCTGACCAGGCTACGGTGTGATAGTTCTGTTTGTTTCTCCTTGATGAAAACCTGCCCCCTTGGTTCACTCTACTTCTCTGTAAGCCAGCTGCCCTCCCCTCCCCACTTCGATCACTGCTTGCAGAGGCAATAAAGTTATTGTTGTTTCAAATTCATGCATTCTTTATTAATTTGTCACACAAATAGGGGGATAACTGCCAAGGTAGCCCGAGAGGGGTGGAGGAGGAGGGCAGCACCGGGTGGGGTGGGGGAAGAGGGAAGGACAAGGCCACACTGCACTTCAAAACTTATTGAATGCCAGCCTTCTGTTGCTTGGGCAGTCCTCTGGGGTGGAGTGGTTGGGAGCCCGGAGGGGCCCCCCCCCCCGCATTCTTGGGTATCTGGGTGAGGAGGCTATGGAACTTGCAGAGGAGGACGGTTGGTTACACAGGGGCGGCAGTGGCGGTCTGTGCCTTTCCTGCACCTCAACCATACAGCGGAGCATATCAGTTTGATCCTCCGGTAGCCTCAGCATTGCATCCTGCCTCCTCTCATCATGCTGCCGCCACCTTTCCTCTTGATCCTGCCATCTCTCCTGTTGCTCCCACTTTCTGTCATTGCGTTCATTTTGTGCTTTCCTGGACTCTGCCATTGTCTGCCTCCACACGTTCTGCTGGGCTCTTTCAGTTTGGGTGGACTGCATGAGCTCAGAGAACATTTAATTGCAAGTGCGGTTTTTTTGCCTCCATATCTGCGCTAGCCTCTGGGACGGAGATGCTAGTGGCAGCGTTTAAAGATTTGCAGCTGCGGGAGGAAAAAAAGGGAGAGTAAAATTGAAAAAGACACATTGGCCATTTAAAAGGAGGGGCTGATGTTTTCGGGTTAACATGCAGCACAAACCCAGCTAAACCCCGCCCCTACCAAATTCTCTGGGATGATTGCTTCACGCCTCACCCCACCGCGTGGCTAACAGCGGGGATGATTTCTTTTCAGCCACAGGCAAACAGCGCAGCAGGAACGGCCACCTCTGAATGTTCCCTTAATAAAATTCCCCTATTTCAACCAAGTGACCATGAATGATATCACTCTCCTGAGGATAACACAGAGAGATAAAGAACGGATGTTGCTTGAATGCCAGCAAACACTGGGACCACACGCTGCCATGCTTTCTTATGCAATGATTCCAGACTATGTACTACTGGCCTGCCGTGGTAAAGTGTCCTACCATGGAGGACGCAATAAGGCTGCCCTCCCCAGAAACCTTTTGCAAAGGCTTTGGGAGTACCTCCAACAGCTTCATGGAGATGTCCTTGGAGGATTTCCGCTCCATCCCCAGACACGTTAACAGACTTTTCCAGTAGCTGTACTGGCTGCGAATGCATCCCAAGTCTTCAGGGCAAATTAATCATTAAACGTGCTTGCTTTTAAACCATGGATTATATTTACAAAGGTACACTCACCAGAGGTGTCTTCTCCGCCTTCAAGCTCCGGGAGTCCGGGTTGGGAGGGTACTGTCTCCAGGGTGATAAACAGTTCCTGGCTGTCGGGGAGAACAGTTTCTCCGCTTGCCTGGTGTGCGCTATCTTCAACCTCCCCCTCCTCATCATCTTCCTCATCCTCAAAATCCTCATCCCTGTTGCGTGAGACTTCCTTGCAGGACTCCACGTACAGGTGTGGGGTAGTTGTAGGGGCACCCCCTAGAATTGCATGCAGCTCATCATACAAGCGGCATGTCTGGGGATCTGACCCCGAGCGGGCGTTTGCATCTTAGGTTTTTTGGTAGGCTTGCCTGAGCTCCTTAAGTTTCACATGGCACTACTGCGGGTCCCTGTGATAGCCTCTGTCCTTTGTGCCCTGGGAGATTTTTTCAAATATTTTGGCATTTCATCTTTTGGAATGGCATTCTGATAGCACGGATTCATCTCCACATACAGCGATCAGATCTAGTACCTCCTGTTCTGTCCATGCTGGAGCTCTTTTGTGATTCTGGGACTCCATGATCACCTCTGCTGATGAGATCTGCATGGTCACTTGTGCTGATCAGCTGGCCCAACAGGAAATGAAATTCAAAAGTTCGCGGGGCTTTTCCTGTCTACCTGGCCAGTGCATCCGAGTTGAGAGCGCTGTCCAGAGCGGTCACAATGGAGCACTCTGGGATAGCTCCTGGAGGCCAACTGTTATCCTGTCCCTTCTCAGTCTTCCCTTCTACAGACTAAACAACCCAATTTTTTCAATCTTCCCTCATATGTCATGTTTTCTAGTCCTTTAATCATTTTTGTTGCTCTTCTGTGGACTTTCACCAATTTGTCCACATCTTTCCTGAAATGTGGTGCCCAGAACTGGACACATTACTCTAGTTGAGATCTAATTAGTGCTGAGTAGAGCAGAAGAATTACTTTTTGTCTGTCTTACCACACTCCTGCTAATACACCCTGGAATGATGTTTACTTTTTTTGCAACAGTGTGATGTTGTTGACTAATATTTAGCTTGTGATCCACTATGACCCCCAGATTACTTTCTGCAATACTTCTTCCTAGGCAGTCATTTCTCATTTTATGTGCGCGCAACTGATTGTTCCTTTCTAAGTGGAGTACTTTGCATTTGTCTTTATTGATTTTCATCTTATTTACTTCAGACCATTTTTCCAGTTTGTCCAGATCATTTTGAATTTTAATGCTATCCTCCAAAGCACTTGCAAATTCTCCCAGCTTGGTATCATCTGCAAATTTTATAAGTGTACTCTCTATGCCATTATCTAAATCATTGATGAAGATACTGAACAGAACCAGACCCAGAACTGATCCCCACAGG